GCTGTAATTTGCATAGGGCAAAACGCTGTTCTCTGCTGTGCCAATGGCTTTATCGAGTAGGAATTAGCATAAACACCTCTTGGTGACACGAATTTTAAAGAAACCCATCATAACGAAAAGAAAAATCCGCCATCATTGGACTTTCCCATGCCCGGTTGCTTTCCACGCTCGTGCCGTCCTTGTAACACTTTGCCAATCAATCAATGACTCAATTAAATGCAAGTAACTCCTAGATTAAGGCCCATTGATTCTTGCATAGTAAATAGGACAAATAAGCACTGGCCTAGTTAGCCGCTCGACTAATCATCCCCATCAGGAATCAGAAATCGTGGGCGAGCACATAGGAAACATTAACCCAAATTCGAACGAGTACAGCGCACAATATAAATACCAAGCGGATGTGCCAGGAGTCAGGCAATATGGCCGGGAATTATGGTCGTGCTGCTGCCAACTTAATTAGCCTGGCGGAAAATACATTGCGGCATAGTTCTCAGATCGAGATTTACAATGTTGGAGCCGTAAAGGCTTTAATGCCGCCGGATGACGCATGCAAATGCCAAAAAACAATTCGAATGCGAATACAGCCGTTAACAATTGTCGCCGGCACGTCAATAACCTGGCCGAGAGCCAACGGGTTTATTGAACCCACCTGCCTCTGAATAGCAGGCCCCCTGGGAGGCGCCACCAACTCTATTTCCTGGAAATTCCCGAGCATTGTCTGCGGAGGGGCAGGGCGGGATGGGGCAGGACCTCAGCTAGGGCTAGCTAATATTAGACGGCTAGACACGAGGAATCCAACCGATATATGTATATGCACACACCAGGACACGCAAAGCACTTGTCCGCGGCTGATAAAGCAAATGACCTTTGCGACATGGCCAAGTTGAATGGCAAGCGCCATGGAGCTCCCAAAAAGTTATGGATAGTAAACCATAAGTTTTCAAAATGGGCCCTTGGGCACATTATTTAGCGTGTGTTATACATATATGTTGGTTCTTTAAGGGGATACTTTTTGTGGGCTTTTTTGATCCTTATGGGTAAGCCAAATTTGATCTCAAATCAAGTTTATCTCATAATTAAAGACCTCTGAAAATGGGAATTTCTTGAAAAGTATTTAACAAGTAGAAGCAAGTGTTGAGTCCGTCGATTCCTTAGTCAAGCAGAACAGCACTCCACATTAGGATATCATAAAGTTTTGAGTAATACAATTAAAAAGGCATTTAATGGTCAGTGGTGTCAATGTCCCCTGCTAGGTGGCTTCCGTGTCATTGGCCCCAACATAAATTGGTTAACATAGTACCGGGTACCTGATAGTCGAGGCATTTGATAACAGCGTACCTTCATGTTTTTTCTAAACATTAAGCGGCAGAAGGGTTCCGAAATTAGAAATAATTATTCTAATTTCAGTAACATCTAAAAACAAGAAAGGAAGTTAACTTCGGCAAGCCGAAGCCCTTGCAGTTAAATTTTAAGGATTGTTGCTAGCTTCAGTGATATTTGTGTAAAACTAAATTCGTAATGCTAAATTTTTTCATTATTATTCATATTATTCATTATTTCTCTGACCGTTTCTTTGACAAAAAACACCGAAGCTATAATTTGTTTCATGTTATTTTCCCACCAATTTTCCGATTGTTTCTATGGCAGCTATATGCTAAGTCGTCTGATTTTTATTTAATTAAATTCAAAATTCAAAACTAATTAAAAAATTTTATTTCCAAGCGTATACGTTAAAAAACACCAAAGAAATATTTTTTTTACATTTTTTTTCCGATTATTCCTATAAGAGCTATAAGATATAGTTGTCCGATCCGGCTGGTTCCGACTTATATACTACCTGCCAAAGAAAGAAGACTTCGGAAAGTTTCAGCCCGATAGCTTTAAAACTGAGAGACTAGTTTGCGTATAAACGGACGGACAGACGGACATGGATAGATCGACTCGTCTAGTGATGCTGATCAAGAATATATATACTTTAGGGGGTCGGAAACGTCTCCTTCACTGCGTTGCAAGCTTCTGTTCTATTAATTACATCTCCTTAAAGTTTTTTAATACAATGTTCATTTTTTATTTTAAATATCTAATGACACCCTTCATTCCTTCCAGCTCATCCACACCCCCAACAAGCCTTTCGCACATGGCCCGGATGATGGACTCCCTGATCCTGGACTCACTGTCCCCATTTGGCTACACCAAGATCACCACCACCAGTAGACCCTCTCGGAATGCCAGCTTGAAGAAGGGCTCGGAGGGCGGACACTCCTCGACAGCGGAGCGCCACCGGCCGATCAACAACTTGGGCTCGAATGCACCCGGGGGACTGGGAATTGGCGGTAGTGTTCCGTTGCGCAGCAAGCAGCGACTGCCCACCCAAGGTTAGTGATCCGCGAAGCGGCGTTTATTATATAATCATTAATAAAATGCAGTCTCCGCCGCAGAAGTGGCACCTCAGCCGCGAGCCAGTCAGACCCAGGGCCAGATGCCGTTTCCATCGCAGCAGCAGGACAACCGGTGGGTGTCCTCCTTGAGGCGGCGTGATCCCGAGCTCCAGCCCACACTGCCTTCCATCGGCAGCAACGTGAATAGCAGCAGCCTGGGACAGAGTCACCACGGAAGTGCCGGGAACGTGGGACTGGCGGCCGCAGGAGCACCAACTCCGGCCACCAGCATGGGCACCATGAGGATGGGGCGGCCAGCAAGGGCATCCGCCATGACGGCCGCCTTGAGGAAGAGCCGATCTGTGGAGCGCCTGCGGGCAAGAAAGCTTAGCACCAACACCCAGCTGACTCTGAAGCACAAGCCGGTGAAGAAGAACTCACTGGACGAGAACTCCAACTCGGACGACCAGGACGCCACCACATCCCTGGAGGACAACTCGCACGCCCAGTCCCTAACCACCAGCCACAACACGCCCAAGTGCTCGCCCAAGACCAAGGCCAAGCACTTCTCGCCGCTGGGCTACGAGGCTCATCTGGTGGACACCCTCGAGAAGGACATCCTGCAGCGGCACCCCTGCATCAAGTGGCAAGATGTAGCCGGTCTCAATGAGGCCAAGACAATATTGCAGGTGAGCTTCTTACTGGGCCAAAAACAAATTGAAAGTAATCACTAAGTTCTGATCCAAGTACTATATTGTGTCTGATCTCAATTTCTGATCTCAATTCTTCATATTTAAAGATATTTATTCGTCTATGACTAAAAGGCTATAGATCTATAGCTTCTGTGGTCTTAACCTACTTACCTATGGAAGACATACACTTTTTTTCAAATAACTAAGAAGTAATAAAGAACACACTTGGCAAAGTAACTAAGGCATAAACGAGAACTTAAACACAATGTACAAGTTTTTAAATTTTATCGAATAAGATAACACTGTGAAACATATTTAGGGTTTTTGAGTTTAATCGCAGCTTGGATTAAAAATTTTAAAAGTACTGATCGAAACCGTTCAAGCCAGCGTTTGGATATTAAGCAATGTAAATGAAGCCAATAGAAATATTTTTTTGATGTCTTCAGGACTTCTAGTTTAAATGGCTAAATGTTTTATCTTACTTTTTGGGTCAACATTTTGTTATTCACTGTTCTGAAAAAAGTTGTTTAAGTATTTATTAACTATTTCTTTACCTACAATTATGATGGGGATTTATTTAAATCTTTAATGTGCTTAAGAACTATTGTCGAGCTAAGCCAGAGAACCTCAAATTTGTCTCGTTTTGATCAGTACATTCAGATTTGGAAATCCAAACCTGGGTTATATTTACTGTGTAGCACATTAAAATTATGAAGCCTAAACTCCATTGCCTTCATTTTTGCCCTAACAGGAAGCGGTTGTGCTCCCGGTCATTATGCCAGAGTTCTTTAAGGGAATCCGCCGGCCGTGGCGTGGAGTTTTGATGGTGGGTCCGCCGGGAACGGGCAAAACGATGCTGGCCAAGGCGGTGGCCACCGAGTGCGGCACCACCTTCTTCAACGTGTCCTCCTCTACCCTGACCTCCAAGTATCGGGGCGAGAGCGAGAAGCTGGTGCGGCTCCTTTTCGAGATGGCTCGCTTCTATGCACCCAGCACTATCTTCATCGACGAGATCGACGCCCTGTGCGCCTCCAGGGGCAGCGACTCGGAGCACGAGGCCAGCCGCCGGTTCAAGGCCGAGTTGCTCATCCAGATGGATGGGCTAAATGCGAGCATGCAGGAGGAAAAGGTGATCATGGTGCTGGCGGCCACCAATCACCCGTGGGACATCGATGAGGCCTTCCGAAGGCGCTTCGAGAAGCGGATCTACATTCCACTCCCAAACGGTAAGAAGGTGTTTAAAAATTCCCAAAACTCTATTATCAGTGATGATATCTAGATTGAAATCCGTTGGTTCTTTGCCAGTTTCGTCATATAAAACTCGAAATATAAAACGCTGTCCTCGGATTAACCAAATGAAAATATTATTTTTCAGAGGACACGCGGTCGGCGCTTCTAAAGCTCTGCCTGAAGGACGTCTGCCTGTCCCCCAGCCTGAACACCGGAATGATCGGCGACGAACTGCAGGGCTACTCGGGCTCCGATATAAGCAACGTGTGCCGCGACGCCTCCATGATGGCCATGAGGCGCCTCATCTCCGGGCGCACTCCCGATCAGATCAAGCAGATCCGCCGCGAGGAGGTAGACCAGCCGATTACTTTGCAGGACTTCCAGGACGCCAGGCAGCGCACCAAGAAGTCCGTTTCCGCGGACGACGTGGCCCGCTTCGAGAAGTGGATGGAGGAGTACGGGTCCTGCTAGTTGTACGGGCTGCTGGCCCAACACCCTCGATGATTGTATCCCATGCGTACTTCCAAGTCTCAATTGCAATACTTTTCAATCTGTATAAATCGTACTCGCTAGCCGTAATGTTTTGTGTTTTATATACGCTTAATTGCTCAAGTGCCCCACGCCCAGCATTGCCCCTCTATGTACGTGCACATGGTAATCTGATATCTTATAAATACATGATATATACACTGGATCCACATATGTAATTTTTAATATTTATTCAAAAGAACCTTACTATAGGCATATAGCAACATAATGTATTTTGTAATCAACATATTTGAAAACGGAAAAACGAAATAAATTACTCAACACCCCTTGGATCCGCAGACCCTACTGGGCTTTCAATTTGGCAATGGTGGTCTGGTAGTCTTGCTCGACCACACTGTACTCCTCCTGAAGCTGCTCCATGCGTTGCTTAATCGTTGGCAGGCGAGCCCGCAGCATCTCAGTGTCCATCTTGAAGCGCTCCATTTTCTTCAGATCCTTCAACTGCTTATAATAGACGGCGTTGAGTCGTTTCTTCACTTCCAGCCTATAAGACCGGTACTCCTTTTCATCTTTCACATTGGTGTAGAACAAACGCAGCAGCTCGTACACCTTCCGCACCTGGCGGGGATTGAGTTTCAGGGCTTCACGAGCTTCCCGCACCATTTCCTTGTTGAAACCCTTCATGATTTCGGCACGGGCAAACGACTTCAGTTCCTTGCAGGATCGGGCGTCCACAAAGTTGCGCAAACGTTGGAACTCCTCGGATGGATCCTCCACGGTGATGTCCACCACGTTCTTCTGTGTCTGATAAAACTTGTAAATGGTCTCCACCATCTGGGTGGCCAAACCGAGTTTCAGGAATGGCGGCAATATCAGCATCTGGCTTATTCTGGGCCTCTTGTTCTGCGGATAGGCGTAGTACTCGTATACGGTGGTGTAGCCAGCAGTGGCGTACTGCCATTGGCCATCGTTGTTCTTGTACTTTTCATAGCTGAAGGGAAAAATATTATGAGAAAAAGCTGAGCCACCACAAAACATATTTCGCAAAATGAATTTGTTAAGCACTCGTTCTTCGGCAAGTCCTAATATTGATTTACCAAGAGCAAATAGTTACTGTTATGCCTGTCTTTGGTAATTTGTAAAGATTTTACACAAGCATGAACATATAAAAAAGCGAGGCCAGCATTAACTGCCCGAGAATAATCTGATCAAATATTGATGCAAAAGTTATAACATGAAGAAAAACTTAGCCTGGTTATGCACTTAAAATTATAGAAATGGTATGCAAAACAAGAACTAAAAATTTGGCCTTAAGAGAACTCCGAGTACATTGTTGCAAAGAATGTTAAAATTCTGAGTATAGTAATTAAGTAAGCTTAAGCTTCTGCTGAATTACTTACCACAGGAAGTAGCACCACTGTGGGTCATCAGTGTCGATGTAGGAGGCGGCGTCCACGAACCACAAGACGAATGTCTGTAGCCGGGCAAAAAATTTGAGGAAGGACGAGCTCTTGTAGTCGCACTGGAAAATCTCGAAGAGCCTTTCGCTTCCGTCGTCCGCAACCCGGGTGTATTCGCTGATCTTCTCGCCGAACGGCTGGAACTTGTCCGCCTTGTCCAGGGTTTTGAGGAACTCGTCAAGGTTGATGAAGTAGCAGCCGTCTGGCAGACTCTGGGCAATGGTGCTGACCACGTCGTCGGCCTTGATCTCTCCGCCGGAGATCTCGTTTACCCGCTGGCCGTACTCGATGCCCAGGTAAATGTGCAAGGGTCCTGCCGTGTACATCACTCGCACGCGCAAGTCCTTGTAGCCGAAGATGGTCTCCGACTCGCCGAATATCTGGTGGGCCATGGCGGGGTGGAAAGTCAGGGCGTCGTTGTTGATGTCCCCCTTGTCCCTAACTGAAAGCAGAAGCATTGCAGGACTGTGACGGGCGAAATCCAGTGCACCACTTACTCAGCTTAAAGTCCACAACCTCTAGGGCATCGACCACCAAGTCCTGGTACTCCTCAATTTGTGCCATTTTGTGGTTTTTCCAATGCCGCCAATCAAATTGTTTTCGCAGATGGAGGGCAATGATATCTTTTCTGCTTGACTTGCTTTTGGCAGATACGTAAAATCCAGCAAACTTATTGCTTTAAAAATCAAACCCAAGGCACGTTTTATACAAAAACTAGTTGGTTTTTGTGGGTGTTTTAGCGCAATTTTCGCGGCTAAACAAAGAATTTTGGCTTCCCACCAGTGTTGGACAACGCAAGCTAGCCACCCCATTGACAAGGTTGTCAGCCGATTAAACTATCGGCGGCTTAATAGAATACAAATTGGTTCTCGTGTTGATTTTATTTTTAATTATTTCTATATTATTTTTAGATTTTTGGCTTAGATTTTGAAGCTATTTATTTATTGTGATTACTATAAGTATTTCACTTACTATTAGAAGTGGCAGGCGTGTTTCTTTTTCTTGCAGCCCTAAATTGTTTTAACAAAAATCGGCCCATACTGATTTTTTCTTTCCAAAATGTTGTTTAAATGTGACACTTTTCGCCTGGATACTTCCATTTCAAAATCAAAATCGTGTTCTGTCAGACACTTCACAGCACTACAACCTGGAGCAGCCAACTTAACAGCACAGCGATTGTAAGCATCGATAAGTATCGATTCTTATTTGTAAAAATAGGGGCATTCATACAGCATTTGTAAGCAAAAATTTGTGCGGTGCGGAGAAATATTATTGCGAAAATACCGCTTTTGCTTCCAGATACGTTAGGAAAAGGAACAGGCAGACCAACCAGGTTGGAAACAAGACGGAGTGCAGCATTTCACCCAGCGCAAACCAGTTTTAGCAGACTCTGCGGCAGGACAAAAACGAAGGCGAGGTTAGTGGGAAAATTGCCTAGTCATAGCGGCCAAAATACAAGTTAACTGCATTTCAGAGCACAATGGACACCTATTTGTTTGATGGCGGCCGCATCACCAAGATGGAGGTGGACTACGAGCCGGCTTGCAACGAGAAAATCCCCCTTGCCAAGGAGCTGGCCAAGAAGAACCCCGACGCGTTCCACGAAGCCATCGAGATGATGCTGCAGCTGGAGAAGCAGACGCGCCTGGGCGCCGACATGGTTTCCTGCTCCCGCGTCCTAGTGGCCATCTGCCAGATTTGCTTCGACGCCTCCAACTGGAACGCCCTCAACGAGTACGTATCCCTGCTAGTCCGCCGCCGCTCCCAGCTGAAGCAGGCCGTGGTCAAGATGATCCAGGAGTGCGTCACGTACGTGGACAAGACTCCCGACAAGGAGACCAAGCTGAAGCTGATCGACACTTTGCGCTCGGTCACCGAGGGCAAGATCTACGTGGAGATCGAACGGGCCCGTCTTACCAAGATCCTGGCCGACATCAAGGAGGCGGATGGCGACGTCGCCGGAGCTGCCACGGTTATGGAGGAGCTGCAGGTTGAAACCTACGGCTCGATGGACAAGCGCGAGAAGGTGGAGCTCATCCTGGAGCAGATGCGCCTCTGTTTGTTAAAGGAAGACTACGTGTCCACGCAGATCATTGCCAAGAAGATCAGCATAAAGTTCTTCGACGATCCGGTTCATCACGATCTGAAGCTGAAGTTCTACTACCTGATGATCCAGCTGAACAGGGACACTTCGTTCCTAAATACTTCGCGTCATTACCAGGCCATTGCAGAGCCGCCGCGCAAGAAGACAGGCCTCACACCCGTGGACTCCGCCGCATCCACAGATGATCAGAAAAAGAAGGACGAGGACAAGAAGAAGAAGGAGGACGATGACAAAGATAAAAAGCCAGAGGTCGCCCCAGAGCCTGAGGTCGAAATTGAGCTGACCGAGGAACAGAAGAAGGAACTGACGGAAAAGCTGGTTTGTGCCGTGTTGTACTGCGTTTTAGCTCCCTTTGACAACGAACAGAGCGACATGATGGCCCACCTCTCGAAGAACAAGAAGCTGGAAGAAGTCCCAGCCTACAAGTAATTGCTTTTGATTCTAGCAATTGCTAAAACTAATTGTACCTTTCCTTTAACAGAGAAATTCTGCGCTTGTTCATGTCAAAGGAGCTGATCAACTTCGACACATTTAATGCCGACTTTGGGCTCGTGCTGGCAGAGAATGAGATGTTCAAGGATAGCACCAAGCACGGCAAGAAGTGCATCACCGAGCTCAAAGATCGTCTGATAGAGCATGTAGGCCTACTTTCGTAGATCCGTCTGCCTTCCAGTGCTAATTAATATTTTCTGTTCTCAGAATATTCGCATCATTGCCATGTACTACTCCCGCCTGCATTTGGCGCGCATGAGCGAGCTGTTGAACCTGCCCACCAGCCGCTGCGAGGAGTACCTGTCCAAGCTGGCCAACAGTGACACAATCCGCGTCAAGATCGACCGTCCCGCCGGCATTATTTACTTTACCCAGAAGAAGAGCGCCTCGGACATCCTGAACAACTGGGCCACCGACGTGAACCAACTGATGTCTCTGGTCAACAAGACCTGCCACCTGATCAACAAGGAGGAGTGTGTCTACTCGGTCATGTGCGCTGTCGAGGAATAGTCCGGTTCATTATGGCTGCCTAGAATAGTGTTTTCCCTTTGAAGCGCCTTCCCATACGCAACTGTATCTGTACTAACCACCCTACCATCAACATTTTGATTATCTTCGCGAAGTTTGTATTCATTGAATGAACTACAATAATTAAAAGAAAACCCCTCTAAATGTCCATTGCAATGAAGTGCAGTTATTTTTTTTGCCAGTCACCGGTGCTTTCTGACGGCATTTCGCAACACTTTGGGGGTGTGTGCGGAGTGCTTCTTCTTGTTCGTGGGAATCGACATGGGCGTAGAGTGCGAGTTGGGCGAGGGGATATCTTCGGAACTAAAATATATAATAAATAAAAACTAAAGTCTAAAATGAATTGAACTAAAACTAAAAAATAGTGTTCGAACAAATTACAAACTTTTAAAAATAAAAGCACAACCGCTTTTTATGTTCGGGGAGCAGGAGTAAATTTGAAGATAAAATAATGACGATTCCGTTAAATATTAAGGAAATACTCCATATAAGAGACATTTTTTTTCTGTGTTTTGTTTAACGTGATCAGAACGTGATAGAAAATAAATAGAAAAATATTCGTCTCCCCTGGTTACTTTGCCAAATTACCCCCTCAAACTTCTGACGGCGCTCCTGAAAGCTTGTATTCTCTTCATTTGTACCATAGCACACCGCTCATATCGCGAAATTGTTTATATTTTTAAATCGAGAATGCCAAAAGAAGATTGCAAGTACTGGGAAAAGTGCTACCAGCGTAATCCCGCACATTTATCCAAATACAATCATCCAGAGAAGCCGGCTGAGAAAAAAGAAGACTGTGCAGAAGACAGAAAAGTGGCGCCAAAAAGATGTGCATCCTCGCAGTCGGGGGACAAGGAGAAGGACACTCCCACGAAGTCGGAGGACAAGGATGAGCCCAATGCAAGCAACTCCAGTGCAGACGTGGAAAACGAGGAGGAGGCAAAGGGCAGTTTTGAATCGGAAACAGCGGAGCTTCACAAGGAGGCCATGAGCAACATATCCGGGAAGAACTACATGGAGATCCTTGAAAAGCGCATTCGGCTGTCCGTGCAGAAGGAGTACGACAATCTCTGCGAGTCCAATGAGTTTATCAGACACAAATTCCTTGTCGAAATGCCCCCAGATTTCTATGAGTTCTGGAAGTTCGTGGGAAGCTTGAAAACCGATCCTGCGAAACCCAAAGATGCAGGGTTGGAGCACCTGGACAAAGTATTCCAACTGCAGTTGGTCGGGCCCTTTGAGTTCCTTGCCGGCAGATTCCACGGCGCAAAACTTGGCGAACCGGGAGACTATCTGCGCCACTGGCGCTTTTACTACGATCCCCCAGAGTTCCAGACGATCTTCGTGCGCCGAGGCACCGGGATTCACTACGGCTATTGGCGAGATGTGCCTCAGGATAAGGAGAATCTCTTGATAGCCCGCAACGACTCCGCCAAGGGTTGTGAATTTCAGTTCGTGGCTGGAAACGCGTTTGATGCATTTCTCTACTACCTGGAGCACGACTTCGTGGCCACCCCCTTCTCAGCCGGACAGCTGACCGGAGTCAAAAAAGCTGTGTCGAAGTACTTGAGCGACAATTCGCTGGAACTGGCCCAGCTGGATCGCCTGCAGCGGGAGCGCAACAAACGGGTGGTGGCCAAGACATTCCACCGAGCCGGCATTGTTGTGCCCTACGACCGCAAGACGCAGTTGGGCTACCGTCCACTGGCCGTCAGCGACTCCGAGCTCAAGAAGATGTTGGCCATGCTGGAGCGAAAGGACTTGGATGGTGGAGCCGCCAAGCAAGCGGTGCTGGCAAAGCTGCAGCCTGTGGCCAACGCCGCCACTATAGCCGTGGACGAATCGGACTTCGGCAGCGCCCTGGAACTGGGTATCGATATGTTCAGCAGTGGGCACAAGGAGCTGCACATGCTGGCCTCGTCGCTGCTGGTACCCGCGTATTCGATGCTTTCCCGGCCGCAGTTCATTGCCATCGCCAAGGCGCACATGGAGCAGCGTCGTCGAGAGGTGAACCTCAGCATGTTTGAAGTACTAAAGTAATTCGTTTTTTATTCCGCAACCGCAACATTTTTACAAACATTAAAACTAGGAAGAACACAGCCGAAAGTAGTTTTACATGTACAGATAGGAGTTCTCCTTGCGCGGTGGGACGTAATTGGGGCTGCAGGACTGCACGCCTACGCTCTGAAGGAGCTTTATCACTGGCTGGGCAGCCGTAGCGTCCAGGGGCAGCTTGTCTGTGTAGATGACGAAGGAGCTCACTGGCAACTCCTCCTGGTCCCGCCAACTGGCAACTGCAATAAGGGAGAGAAAGGTGAAATGCGATTGTTTCGCTGCCACCAGAACCACTTACCTCCCGCCGCCACTCCGGCAATAAAGTTGGGAGCCTCTAGTTCGGTGATATCCTTCTGGTCGACTCCCACGCCACGCACAATGGCTATGTGATCCCGGTAAAGCTGGATGTCCTCGCTCTTGAATTCGACCTTAGGCTTCAGCGTCAGGGTGACCACTTTCTTGGCCAGCTTTGCGTAGGGTAGTAGAAGCTCCGTAATCTCGCCACTGCTGGTCAGGTCCTCCTCCAGGATGGCCAGCAGCTGTTTGGACGAAGGACTCCAGTGCAGGGACGAGGTCTTGGCGGGAATGCCGCAAAGGCGTTTCGAATCCTTTGCCAGCAGCGAGGTGGCAAAGTGGGTGACGTTGACGCCCTCGATGACCACCAGGAGCTCGCTCTCCACGGGGGCTACCTCGCCAGCCGGCTCGCCATCGAATTTGAGCTGCAGCCTGCAAGTCCTAGATATTAAAACTGGGTAAACAAGGCAAAACCACGCACTTCTCGACCGGCTTCAGGTTCTCCAACTCATCCTCGTCGCAGTCGTCCCAGAAGGCGCGGGACGACGGTATGTTCAGTTCCCCAAATCCTGGACAGCTCATGGTGTCTATTTTAAGTTAATTTATGGGTGAAACTAATATGACAAGCTTAAGTCCGGTCACTGTGTTTTTTTCAAGTCATCAGAGTGACCATGTGCTGAACGCCAGAATAAGCACCATTCACCATTCAAAATAAAATATTTTCAGATATTCTCCAACATTTTCGATATTTTTACTGAGCTTATTAAGTTGAAATATTTTGTTTTATTCTGATAAGCATAGCTTTTATTATAGTTAGTAAGAATAAATTTAAATAAGTTAAATATTCTTTAAATAATGGTGAGAAGCGAATGTAAAAGTTAAACATCTTCAAAAAACTAAACCAAATTTGGTACAACTAAAAAAAGCTGTGGGTAATAACTTTCAGCGACTACTAATTTTTTATCTCTTACTCAATATAACGTTCTTTTCGTAAATATTTTATACGAGTTTTTAAAAATCTTCACCGTTTCATTGTGGGTGACCCATTAACCCTTTAGTGGGATTAAGGCTGTCATATTTCTATTCGAACACTTCGTCATACGTTGTGTTCTTACGGTTTTGGGAGTTTTTGAATTTGGGCTATATTTTTATAAAGTTGAAATGGAAAAGTATGCCCGCCCTCGATCCGCCAAAAATACCAGATCCGCTCTTGCAGACCAGCGCTCCGATGACGGTCATACTGAATACAAAAAATGCAAGATGCAGGCCCATATTCGAATTGGAAAACCACTTTGATCGCGAATTAGAAACTGATTAAGAGCTGCACGTTGCTGAAAACAGCAGGAACGGCAGTGCGCTAGGATTGTGCCCAAATTCGGCCTGCAGGAGCGGGAGCGGGCGCATAAACCAGTGCCATGAGGAAGCGCAGCTCGCGCTGTAATTCGGACACTTTCAAGGAGGAGCAGATGGACCACAACGGTGACGACATCAGCCTGCTGCAACGCCCACTGCGCACCGCCCACACGGGATTCGAGGAGGCCCGTCGGGCCTACGAAGATGGTACCAACGAGGTGAGTCCCGACCGAGTGGAGTACGTGACTCAGCTCTGGCCCGCGATGGCGGTAGCTCCTTCGACCCAGTTCTTCATGTTCACGAACAACTTCCCGCTTTTTCCGCAGGTGCGCCAGCTGCTAAGCCTGGAGTGCAGCCTAATCTACGAGTGCAAGGTGTGCCGGAACATGTTCCGCAGTCTGGCCAATTTCATCAGCCACAAGCGCGTCTTTTGCTGCGTCAGCGCTCGTTCCGCGAACGGCAGTGATACAGTGAGTGGGCAGTAAAGATAGCCCCATGTCATCTTTTCCTTACCCATGGGAACCAAATTAATCGCTATGATCTCTCTCCACAGGATCAGAACTCCACGATGATCATTCAAACAGGTGGCGGGCCGTCCCCGCAGGACATGGAGCACATGCTGCGCAGCAGGAGTATGGGCTGCTCTCCAGTTCCCCGCGAAGTGCGTCCCATACGAGGAGGCGGTGGTGGGATGCGGGACTTGAGTGGCGTTATCGAGCGTCTTCGGCGGGAAAAGGCTTCATCGCAGGCCCGGCGCAGCTCCCCCACGATTCTGCAGCTGGAATCCGTGCCCACCTCGAGTCAGGCCGTTTACCAGACCATCAAGGTGGATCAGGAAGACAGCATAAGGACAGAGCTGGACGAGGTGCATCGCATGCTCAACCCGGCTGAAACCATTGTGGGTCCCGACGGCAAAGCCTTGACCACCGTCAAGTTGGAACGCCACGGAGGCAGCGACTCCGGCGAAACCGGCGAGCAGTCCATCAGCGACGAGACGGAGACGAGCATCCTCTGCGAGATCTGTAAGACGAACCAACCGAATAGGCTTTGAAATCAATTAGTGACTGGTTGTTTTCCATTCTCGTTCACAGGCAATCTGACTTTTCAGACCAACAAAACGCTTGAGGTGCACATTCAAAAGCATCACTCATCTTCGGCGTTTGTGTTTCAGTGTCCCGCATGCTCGCTGACCTTTCTCCAGGCAGCTGCAGTTATTCGACATTTATCCAAGGATCACAAGTGAGTAGAGCTAGTAAAGAATAGAATCAATTATTTATTATTATATTTTATTATACAATTTGTATAAAATATATGTCTTCAAACTTATGGAAAAAATAATAATTTCCTGAACGGCTTTAATATTTTCTTTTAATGCTAGTGAGGGCAACCCTTCCACTTATTAACTCTATGTGTCAAACACTAAAACTTTGTATGTGTTAGGCTCCAGGAGTTTTGTAAAAATATCGTTTGTTTATTGCACTTTTAGGCAGCACGGTGTTAGCCACGGCATAAAGTTAAAAAATAGTTCATCATAAAGATTTAATAAGGGAAATGTGAGTTTCATAAATAAAACTGCCATATCTGGTCTTATGACTGATCCCTTTCAAGACATTTTGTTCTTATTATCCATAGCATTTTAAACATGTTTTTAATGTTCGTCTTTTTCAAAACATTTTTCAGGAAACCGACTCGTCGCATTCGAATGATGAGGAATACTATCCTTAAGCGCCGCGTCCAGCAGGGAGACATTCAGCCCAAGGGTCCCTGTCGTGAACTTAAGCGCCTGCAGCTCTCCGACGACGTAGTGGGATACGTCCCAGAGCCATTGGATGCCAGCGGTGAGCACCGAAAGATCATGTCTTTGTGTATCTACTGCGAGAAATCCTTCGAGCGTCGCGCTGCTCTGTCGACCCACCTGCTCAATTGTCGGGCTAAGCAAGAGGCGTTGGCGAAGCCGGCTCCTTCCGTCAAAAAACTGAAGGTGAAGAGCAATGATTCCAGTCTGGATGCAGCCGATGAAGACCCAACCGCCTCCATAGATCTGCCGAAAGATGAACCGATGAAGAGAGAGGAAATTACTCTAAACGAGATGTTTGCTGATCTACAGGAACCGAACGATTCATTTGCCCCAGGCCTCCACACGGTGTCGTTGGACCAGCTAAATTTGGCACATGAAAGCGACTCTGCTAGTGATGAAGCTTCAAACACGGACGAGGAGCAGGAGCTTGCGCCAGGGGCTGGTCCTGAAGCCAACACCGATCTGGAAGATGTTAAGGGCAAGGCCAAGAAGAAGCGTCATGTGCCAGCGGAAAAGCAGCTGCGTTGCCGATGCAAGATCTGCCATAAGCAGTTCAATGCCCTCGGAAATCTACGTCGTCACATATCCATGTTCCATTACCGAGCACGCCGCTTTGGCTGCAATCTTTGCGAATATCGCGCATTTCGGCGCTATGATATTGTTAATCACTTGGGATTTACCCACAAGATTGAAGGAGACCGAGACAAGCTAACGGAGCAGTATGTGTCCACCCACGAGTGTGAGTACTCGCGCGACGATGTGGACGGGGATATCATTTTGTTGGATAAGGAGGAGGAGCTGACAGTGACGGAAAAGGAGGCAAAGCCGCCTATAAAGACCTACGAAAGGCGCTTGAAGCGTGTAAAAACCATATTAGAATTTGTGGGAGAAGTACGACCCATATCACCATCAGCCGTAATAAAGGAGGAACCCGGCCAGGAGCCGATGGAATCCATTCCCACGTCTAGCAAGAAACGTCGCAAGTCTCGCACTCAAATCTCACCTGAATCTGGCGAGCACTCCCACGAAAAGCGACCCATCCGCAAACGGGTCAAGGCGGTCAACAAAGACTTTGTCTACGATTTGGTCAGCTTTAAACCGGACGGATCAGGCCAGCAAACTCCAGTTCCGCTTGCCGTGGAATCCATGCGAGCGAAGCTGCGTCGCCAGACGCCAGGGAGCAATGATGAAAGCAAACCCAAGCAGTGGGAGGCCTTCATTACGGAGGCCAAGAAGCCTTTAGTGCTAGGCATCACACAGCGCATCATGTTGGATCTTGTGAGCCAGGGTCGGGCGGTATCTGCTACTTTACCGGAATTGCCATCGGAGAGACCGCAGATACGACCACGCCTTATCTCGCACACACGCATTGAAGGCAGGCCGCAACAGCAGCAGAATGTTGCGGAAACTACCTTGAATCCTGCTCCGGAAACCGAGAGTTTCCTCGAGAAGATTGCGAAGCGGACGGCAGCTGCTGGCAAGGATACCGCTGTCATCAGCAACCTGTGGAACAAGGTCAACACTGCGATTGCCCAGCAGCAGCAGCAGCAGCAGCTGAAACAGGAACAGGAGCAGGAGAAGGAGCAGGAGCCGATTCAAGAGACCCAACCAGAAGACAAACCCGAAACACAGAAATCAAAAAGCCCCCTGCCCACGCCTCCCTCGCCGCACAGCATGTGCCACGCCCCCGTGCCCGAAACGCTGGCAACCACTGGTATGGAATGCCTGGGCGGCAAGAGCAGTCAAGCGGGAACACCGACAATGTTTCCGGCCCTGCCCAAGCCGCCATCCGTTCTGCAGGCAGCTGCCAATGGGACCATCCAGCTTACCCTGGACAGTCTCCTGCGAGCCGCGTTGCAGAACTAAACGGAACCGGAAATGGAAGCCACCGTCATCATCGTTGCTACTTTTACAACATTCGTTGTCCTTCCTTCTGAATTTTTCCTCAAATTTTCGGGAGGTCGTTTTCCCATTAACCGTTTAAATGTAATTCACTAGTGTCCTTATTGTAAAACCAACTAAATAAGAAACCAAGAAGAATCAAACCAAGAATCCCTAGATGATAAACACGCTTCGAGTATTACGCGATAAAAACAACCAAAACGAATTCAAATCGTAGGATAATTTTCGGCTATTAGCAAATGTTTGTTGTTTGTGTGAATTGAAAAAGTACAGATTTTTTAAAATGTTATAGTTAATAATGTATAAATGTACCTAATTTTATATTCCCACATAAAGTAAGTCACACAAGTGTATACGGTTGTTGTACACGCGTGCAGCAGATTGCCTTGCCAGGACTTAAACCAGATTGAATATTTAATCAAAATCAAGCCAATCTTCTTGGTGTACTTTAACAAAGTATTGGGGTGAACCGATTCGAACGCATTACACAATGTTTCAAAAATGTAATCTGTCTAACCTTAAGTCGTAGGCTTACAATTACAATTGTAAATCTCAAACCTATCATAAAAAATACGTTAGTTTATAAAACTCTTTCCGTTAGCAATACATAAACGTTATTAACATTTTTCGTTTAACTTTTGGTATCGACAACACACTCGGAAGTCGCTCCAAAGAACCAAAGAATTACTCCTTGCCGACCAAATCGGCACACCCTAATATATATTAAGAAGACGGAGGGGCTTTGGGTATTAAGTTTGTTGACGCTTCATCTTGCCATCTATCATTCGAATCCATCGCCCCACCACCACCTAATTAGCATTATTATATTCAGGAACATCACAGCTGAGGAACCGGGAACACGACGACTTCTGCATGATGCTGCATAAATTTGTTACTCAAAATGTTAATTGCAAACTAAGCGAAAGTCAGGCGCAAGTTGTACAAGGCAGTCTGTTGTACATACACAACCCAGATACATGTTTATATATATTTTATACATACGCAACGTTGGCTCGGCAAGTGTTTTGCCAAGCGCAACAGACATGAGGAGGAGGAACCACTCGCAGACATTGAAATAAGTCCTGATCTACTCGAGTGGTTCGGTGTATTTATATATCATTGTAATGTACAAGGTAGAGCCTTAAATCAAATCACCAAATGATAATAAATCCTACGATAATCACCCACAAAAATGGTCGAAATGTGAATTGATATCAGCGAGGCCAACAAGTGTCCGGTTTCCGACGCCCATCACCTGTTCGTCCTGCTTTTGGGGCCAGGACAAGTGCCTCGGAGCCCCAGCTGGATGGAGTTTGCATGAAATAGAGCAGGTCACCAGGCAGCTATCTACCCGTGGATGCTGTTGCTCTTACTGCCGTTACTGCGGATGCCCGACAATGGAAATTGTGTCACGGTCAGGAGTATGGGCGTGGACATGGGGATTTGGGCAAGGACTAGGGCTGGGTTGGGTTGGGCTAGGACTTGGGATTGCGCTTGGGCCCGGGCTTGGGATGGTGGAAAACCGAAACCGGGGCACACTTTAAAGCCAAGCGTGTGCGTATCTGTGTCCGTGTCGGAGAATAGAGAGAGACATGGAGCGTGAGAGAGCGAGCTGGCGAGGCGCGACTGTGTGTAATTGGAAACCGAAAGTGAAAACGCCCAGGCCTTGAAATCCTCGACAAGGGCCGCACAGATATGAACTCGAAATATATTTACCAAGGGGTGACAGCCTCCGGGCAATGGTTTTTAATTCCTATTTATTTTTACAAAGCTTTAAGACCAACAACATTATATTCCGAAGTTTTGATGTCGTAAGAAATCTTAAAGATTTTGGAAGTACCCAGTAGACAAAGAGAAAGGGGGTTATTTATTTCAATAAAACAATAAATATGTATGTGCATTTATGTACTCTAAAAGTTGTCAAATCAGGCCACTGTTATATCTATTTGTACATATATGGTGAGGGTTGCATTATTTTTTAATTGCATTTTTGTGAGTACCAATATCTTGTTATATTCCGGAAAATTTTGTTAGGTATTTTATTTTAAAAATCGTGAAAACTGAAAATATATATTTTAATATTTTTTCCGGCGAGTATGGATTTACTTTTAAGAAGGAATTCCCAACCCATAATGGGCAATTGAGACTTATTAAAAAGTTTTAAAAATGGTAAAATATCCTTTAAGGAGTCTTTTAATACCCACAAGCGGATAAGATAATTTAAAAATGTGTTCTGTTACAAAGATCATAACTTTAAATACATTGTTTTGTTTGTTTGGATAACCAATTAGATCAAAGTGGAAACCCAGCTTTAGAAATTAGATAACCAAAAATTAAATTCTTTTGAGTTCCATTAATGCAGCGGGAAGACATCAAGCAGCATCAAATTAATGCCATTTACAAAGGCATTACGTTCGAATAGAGCTCCGAGGGCCTAGGCAAAAGGAAAGGCAACGCAAAATACCTATAGCATAGCCCAATACCAAGCCCACTTTGCCGGGGCGAAATTGTGCTGCATAAACTGATTAAGTGATTTCAGGTTCAGGCTCGGGGGTCGTGGTGCTCGGGTCTGGCATCCACATCGAACGCAGAACAGGGAACGCCAACAAAGCGCTGGGAACAACCAGATGGCATTGAAGGGCGACAAAGACATGTACCATATCGAATATAAACTGCGCTGGCAGGTGCAAGTCTCGTGTAATGAGATCCTTTTGCGCGAATGGAAGTGCTGGGTCGTAACGCCCCCACAATCCGGGAGCCAGTGCAGCTGCAGAGGAAACCAGGACAGCAAAACAGAAATGGAGACACTGAGATTGCTTTTAAGGAGCTTATGCCTTATGGTCCATAAATGCGGGTAACTCGCTGGCAGACAACGGTTGCCGTTTAATGGACTGCAGGGAATGATTTTCGCTGGAACGACTTCAGCTGAAGGGTCTGCTTCTCGTCGAACACATAAGTAGTGTTATGACAATTTAATTACAAACTTAATTGACAGTACTGGGATGGCCTTGGGACCACAGAATGTTACGTTTAAAACAATATCTCATGGTCACAGTGATTTTAATTATAACGTATACGTTATCAATCGAGTATTTTCCATCGAAAACAAGTATTTTTCCTTTGGAGAGAAGGTTTTTCATAACGCTGCGGTTACTAGCCACTACACTATAATATAATTTCGATTCACAGAAACCGTGTTTATCCTCTGGCATAGCAAAAATGTGAACATAGTCGCACCAGCATGTGTAATATGGTTCCCCCCACCGAACTATCGTACACATCACTCATACGCCATGTGGCTCGAGCCACTTTGGCTCCCCGTTGGGCGCTACTTAAAATCAAATTAAGATAATTAAATCGCCGTCGTGCAGCCTGAATATATTTCAATTTGGGTCACCCAGTAAGTTGCATGGCAAGCCGTTCGGAGCTTTCCCGCCTCCGCTGGCACTGACACCCGAGGGATTGGGTGGAAAGGGGGCTTTTCCGACTTCCCGACTTCTCTCCCGCCAGAATTTCTTCTTTTCGCGCGGCGGCAGCTGCGTCCTGTAAAATTTTGGGGCTCAGCAAGTGCTCCAACTGTACTAAGTACTGTTTATTTACTTGCCGCCCATTTGAATAGTGGCGGAGCGCATTATTACCGATTATCGCCGCGCGGAGCAGATGCTGCCGCCCCATCCGGAGTCGCAGTGGGCTGCCAAATAAACATGGGCGGCGATGACAGGGTGGCTGGATGGGCAGGAGGGCGGTGGGCGACCGGGTGACTGGGTAACCTACTAACACGGACGCACCACCCAGAAACAAGAGAGAGTGGAAAAAAGTATGAAAAAAGCTCGGGAGAAAGTTGGGAAGATGAGTGAAAGCCTGTCATCTGTTGGCGTTGGCGGGTCCGCTGGTGTTGTTGCCGTAGGACGTTGAAGGACACCACCAGGAGCAGCATCACCGCCTGCGTCTGGCGCTGGAGTGTTGTCCTAGTCCTAGCCGAAAGCTCTCGGCAGGAGCAGCTCGTGTGCGGTTCGGCTCTCGATGCTCCCTGCTCGATTCTCGGATTCTCGGATACTCGCATACTCGTATTCTCGGGTTCCAAGTTTCGGTGGCTCGGCAGGGCTCGCCAGTCGAGTTTCGGCCGTCTAACCCAGCAGAGGTGTGCAGCGGACAGCAATCCAACCACCGCAACATACAGCACCATCAGCAGCAGCAGACCAAATTATTGCGGCCACAGAAGAGGAGAGCCCTGCCCTTTGACCCACTGTATCCTGGATCTTGATCCGATTCTGCCACTGCAACAACTGCCACCGCATTGCCATGTCCGACTGACCACTGACCACGGACCCAGGAGCAACTGATTGACTGGCATCCCCGCTCACTACTCGTCCATGTCCGTTGTCCACTGGGAGGACGAGGACGCGGATTCGCGGATGTGGGCAGCAGCATCCTCAGCGACAGAGCAGCGCGAAAGTAGGCAGCGAAAATCGGAAATCTAATTAGCGACGTCAGTGTCAGGATCGCAAATCCATTAATTTCGAGGCCTCACATCAACAACATTTCGGCAAAAAGGCGTTGCTGCAGCCCCAGAAAAAATAAGCAGGAAAATCGGGAAAATTTAACGCAGAAAAAAGGGAAAGCTGTGTGTGTCTCGCTGCGTCGGTGTGTTGGTTCGCCGCTGTGCGTGTGTGTGTGTGTGCGAGTGCCTGATAACGCGAGCCTGGCGCTGACATCACTTTCACTTGGAAGCCCAACTCGAGAAACCAACCTGGTCCTGGCCCCCGGGAAGCTGTTACTCGAGCCGCACGGCAACAAAATCAATTAAAGTACCAATAAGACAGCCGCCACAACAGCAACAACAAAGCTGCCACGAGCCAATTATCGGGGAAAGTAGAGGAAATCAGAGGAAAAGCGGAGGAAAGCCAGCCCAGCCAAGATGTTCTCCATGTGCACCAAGGTGAAATCGCGGAGTGCGGATGCGGACAGCTCGTTCATGCAGCATTCGCAGTCGCAGCAGATGCAGCAGCTGCAGCTGCAACAGCCCCAGGCGATGGGTGAGTGGGAAAGTGGGGAGAGCGGGGAGAAAGTGAAACCGAAACTGAGACTCAAACTTAAACTGAAACCGAAACCTAAACTGCGCCCCGAAAGGCAGTCGGTGTGCCCTCATTTGGCGGAAAACCCTTGAACTCGTTTTTGCTGCCCCACCCCAAGTGCCCCGCCCCTTTCTGGCCCTCTGCGCCCCTCCCAGCTGCTTATTTTTCTCAATGAATTCGCACACAGGCGCAGCTGCGCGTCTGTCTGATACTTTCTCTTTCACATCCCCCCATCCTTTCAGGCCCCCGCCTGCACATCCTTAACTTATCAAGCGGAATCCAGGATGCGGTTTCATTATGCTGCAATTGTTGACAGTGCCACGCCCATCGCCCATTGCCCAGCCCATGTGTGTGGGCGTTGTGTGTGCTCTGCATTAAATCATTAAGTAGGTACCACACAGCCCCTCATCGCACTAGGCACGGCGTGGGGTATCTGGGTATTTGCCAGGGAGCCAGCTGGAAATGAGTCGCGGCCGAGAAAGGCAGGATACCAGACTGGCTTCGGGTTACAGCTACTGCTGCAGTTCGTCCCATGCATAAATCATGCGGTTGCACTGGGAAGAGCGTTTGGGAAAGCATATACAAGTGATTTTCTGCTATGATTCCCAACTGGTTCTAGCTATACCGCAAGCTTAATTGAAACTCTATATTGTCATGGAATCCTTCGACATAATAGCTTTTAAGTTCCTTATAAAAATAAGTTTAGTCAATTGTTTCAGTATGTATATCAATAACGGTAGATCACAAAGGATTCTACAGACTTCGTGAAAAGTATACCCCCTTTATTTTCGGTGTAGAGTGAATAATTAGTTCCCTACAACACACAGCTTTGTTAGTACATCTGAAAACTAGTTAGGAGATTTAGTATTTAAAGTTTGAAATTCTACAAATAACAATAAGTGCGTTATTATATTCGATTGACACTCTTATATTTCTATATTATACGTTCTAAGGCTGGCTTTTAAAATCAAAAATGCACGAAATATCCAAATATGATAGGTAGACTTGAGGTATTTCTCCGAGTGCGTGTTCTACATACACATATGTATATCCCAGCCCTTTATCCACTCTCATATCTAGCCAGGCCAGCAATTATGTCTGTACACGTTTGTCGCTGTCTTCGCCTTCCGATTTGTCTCTGCAGTGAGAATGGGGAAAAGGGGATGGGTTCGTTGTCTGTGGCAGCCACTTGCAATTCTAGCTGATTTGTCATGTGGCTGTGGATGTAAGGATGCGAGGATGCGAGGATATGTGTGCTGCATGGCTGCATGTGGCTGTGTGCGTGCACTGAAGTGGCACACATGATGTCCGCTGCCCTGCCTTCTTACACAAGCCAGGCAGTGTCCTTCGGCGAGCGAGCTCTCTCATCAACATCAACCCCCGATGCAACGTATACGTAGGCACCCTGCACCCCCATCCCCCAGTCACCCCTTCCAACGCCATTCCCGAGCTCATCCTTTCATCATCTCCGTCGACACTTGGACTGCGTCTATCGTTGCCGTCTGCATTTCGTTTGCTTCTGGGTATACTTAGAACAATTTTGTCTGTGTTCAATAGAAATTTAACAAGGTTTTTATTTTTAAGCTAAAAGAACAACTTAAAATATTTATTATTTCTTAGTTATTTATTTATTTACATACTGTTTGCTTCAAGTTAAAAGCTAAAGGAACATGGATGGGGAGCAGTATTGAATTAGGTTTAACGCTGCATTTTCTTTTTAACCTGAGAGCCTTCTATAATGATTACAGCATTTTAAGAATTCTGCATAAGTTTTAAAAAATGCTTCTAAAGAATTTTAAATTAAACATATTCAATGTGCCCTCACATCTTTATACCTTAGAATGCTAAAAGTTATATAAGTTTTATAGGTCATACTCGTAATAATAGATAATTATAGATCATAACAAAGCCGAAAGGGGAAAAAATGGAAATGAGAAAAGGGTGGCTTTATTGTTCTGCTTTTTTCTTCGTGTAAAAAATAGATAGGTCGCAGAAAAAATCTGAGCAGACCCAGACCATTTTAAGGGCAAACGGCGTTTTTTAGCACGCCGTGCCTCGAGCGTTTTTCAGATGCTGTGCAGGCTCATCCTCATCCTCAGCGCATCCCATTCTCAGCCGGAGCAAATTGTCGCCAGCCACTCTGGCCGTAATCAGTTTGCTGCAGAGGCAACTTCTCGAGTGGTCGAGTGCGGCAAAAAGCGCCAGAGAGGTTCTTCAGTTCCGAAATTACAAGAATTGTTTCAGGGCACCATTAATCGCTTATCAGTTTCTCGGAAGAAAATGGTTCTGCTTGGGCACAGTACTGAGAACTGAAGCTTAATGCCAATGTCAATTTAATTTCACTTCCTATAATACATAAGCTGAGTTTGTTGGACCATAAGAGGATTTTTCACTTTGATGGGGCTAACTTTAATTCTGTTTGTGAAATAATTAAATTAATCGTTATAATCTTCAGCACATAAATTGAATTTACTTGAAAATCTTGCTTTAAATTTAAGCACGGGAGAAAACTTTAGTTTTGTCCTCTAAGATTTCTTGAGTTGTTCTTTATTTTCACCTTTATAATTTGAAGATGTAGCCCAGAGTCCTTAAACATTGCTAACAGTGAAATTCCCCTGCTAGATGAGTTTTAATTTTTAACAAAATATCATTATTAATAAAAAGATTTTTTTTTCAATTACTAGACATATATGCCAATGCTATAAGCATTTTCCATAAATATTAATATAATTTCGATGTATAATTTAAAGGTATAATTTTTCACTTATCAAGTAAAAACTTTAAATGTAGCTACATAAATCGTGCTTTAAGTTTTGACATTTCGTGTTAAAACCTTAAATAAAGGTGTCAATTTGAGCCTAAGTTTATCAATCAAATAAATAGGTACAAGATTTAAGAATGGCTAAAATACTGAATTAAAGCAGTTAACTTGTTATTTGCCCCCAGGCATTCTTTCAAGTATACATCTGATACCACACGTGCCAGTGAAGTGGTCAAAGGTGTGAAATGGCTCCGGATCAAATATATGTATTTCCGCATGCCCGTTGCCTTGGCCATCTTTGTGGAAATAATTAATTCAGTCCACCGCAAGCGTCGTGTTTGCCACTGCCCCAAATCCTGCTGCATTCCCGCCCCGCCCCTCCCCTTTCGACTCCGACACTTGACCAAATAAATGGGATGCCAGTGGTAATGAATTTGAAATGAGAGACCAGGCCAGCAGGGCAACTGCAGCAGCAGCAGCAGCGGCTGGTGATTGAGTTGCTGGCGCTGCAATTCCGAGGGAATTGCTAAATGAAATTCCGTGTTTCGCTTTTCGCCATTCGTTATCCGGAGCCACCAGTGCCTCGCACCTGGATCCGCTTACAGTTGAAATTTGCAGATCCAGTTTCGGTGCGTGGGCGCCGGGTCCTCAGCTGGCGGATGTCGGGTGTCCGGGGAGGAGGATGGGGTCCTTGGATGGGAAATGGGCTCCAGCTGCAGGGCCCGATTCCTGTTCAATTAGTGGAATCGTGTACCACGGGAACTGGACGTTGAACACTGGGCACTCGGCAGCGGATGCCGACTAGATGAGATTCGCAGCGGACATTCACCCACTTGGCACTGAGTCCATAATTCGTTTTCTTCTCTTTTCACAGGAACTGGCGGGAAGCAAATCAAGGGCGGCTATCTACTGCGCTATAAAAGTGAGTATCTTTGGTAAAAATACATTTAGGGTCTGCTGAATAATAACATTTACAAACCATAGTGTAAAACATATATTTTTCTATTATGGTTTTTAATTTATCAAGATATCTATGTTGTTATGAAAATGTTTGACATGGGAAAAAGTATATTTAACTGATGGGAATTTTTATAAAGGTCTCGATCATTTCAATTTTGTTAATCTTCCTTTTGTAGTACCTTAAAAATATATATATAATCAAAAAGGCCTGAGAGGCTATTACAAAGTCGCGTTTCCGAAATAAGTATTCTTCTTTATACACAAATTGTAATGTTTTTATCAAGTTGCATCTGTATTATTTGTGCTTATATGGAAAATTTTTTGAGACCAAGCCCTTTCTCACGTTTTTTTGCAAACGCACCAATACTATTTCCGAATAACTCGACAAAGAATTCACCTGCAGCAGGACTAGTTGCTAGGCAATTGCAGGACCTTGAAAGGACCGTTCCGATTCCTGTGGCTGTCAGCACGGTAGGCCGGTCTGCCCAGGGACGAATAGAAACCCCTTAAAGGGGCCGACAATCTGTCAAATCAGCACAACAGTAACAGTCCTCCCAACTCAGGCTCAACAGGATGACGCAGCATCAATGGATGAGGTAGATGGATGAGGACTGGGGTATAATCATTTCGGGGTCACATTCAAGTGTAATTACTCATGATTTGGCAGCGCAGTGGATGCGTCGTTGTCATGCTTGCTGGGCCGGATTGAAAATCATGGCCTAAACAATTTGTGTTGAGCCCTTGGCGCCAATTAGTAGGAAAAATCTAGAATGAGGTAGGAATTTAAATTGGGTAAGCACAAGTTTTAATACCGCTTTAGTTAAAACAAATGTAAATAGGTCAATATAGGTATAAACAAGATAGAACGCTGTAGTCGATGTCTTCGACTATCAGACTACCCATTACACAGCTAAGGGGAGTGCGAAGGAGATGAAGATTTGCAAGTCACTAAGCGACTGTTTCCAAGATTGCACACTTTATTGGCTTATAACTTTTAAATGAATGGCCCGTTTTGAACAATTTCTGCCATGTAGGAGAATAGTGATAATCAAAGCGAACCCTTACTTAAATCTTTCCAAAACGCTAAAAAATGTGGGTGGTAGATGGGTTCTAGCGTTATGGGTCGTTAAAATTAGAGTGGGCGTGGCACCCTGCTGCGCAAGAAGCTCTAGAATCTGCCAAGTACCAACGTTTTAGCTTTTTTAATTTCCCAGACCTCAGCGGTTGGAAAGACAGACGGGTAGACGGACATGGCTAGATCGACTCGGCTAGTGGTTCTGATCAATAATATATATACTTTATGGGGCCGCAAACGCTTCCTTTTACCAGTTACATACTTTCCTAAAAACTAATATACCTTTTACTCTACGAGAGTAAAAAATAATTTTTTGACTAAAATTAAATGTTTTCATTAGAAAACGTAACTTCAATCTGAAGGCGGCTACGAGCTGATCGAAAATATAAATACTTCTTTGCTTTTTAATAGCAAAATAAATGTCAGTCCGCACTATTAAAATTGACTTAATAGACAAATAAGAAAATATAAACATATTATATTTAAAATACAAAAAATTGTTACTTTTAGCTCATAAAATTACAGAGGTGAAGTTCTCCAATCTGATTCCGTGCCCTTTTTCCTTCACAGAGCAAATGTTCTGGAACCGCTGGGCGGAGGAATGGGTGGTGCTGTACGACGACTCGACCATGGCCTGGTTCACGGAGCCGGGGCGCTCCTCGCCGACGGGCAAGATCCTGGTGAAGGAGGCGCCCGAGATGCTGGCCATCGCCCACTGGACCGGCCAGATTCCGCGTCGTCCTCCGCTGCCGGCGGGCGTGAACGTGTCCCAGCTGATTGCCCTCGGATCGCAGCGCAAGCGGTCCAAGGTCTACTGGATGCTGGCCAAGTCGGAGCAGGAGGTGAGCGACTGGATCGATGCGATTACCAAGACCCTGCCGCCGCCGCCGCAAATCGAGCTGGTGGTGGACAAGCCGCACCTGATGAACGTGCTCCGACGTCCGCTGGTGCGCATTAGACGTGAGTAAATCCCAGTAGATCCCCCGTTTAATCCATCCGCCTACTCATTTCTCATGAATGCCCGTTGCGAATGGGGCCGTTCAAATTTGCAAAATGTTGCTCTTTTATATAAAGATAGATAGATAGATAAGCATAGATCTGCTTAGAGAAAACATAAGGATCAAATTGATATATTTTTTCTCTTTTTAAAATTTTTTTAAACGGGAACCAAAACGAGTTACTCCTCGTATCTGCTTAGTTAGAAATTATTCTTAGTTGCATCAAAATAATCATCGTATCTTATCAATTTGTTTCCCTGTGAAGAAAATGTTTATTGGACATAAATTATTAGCCATACAGATTGACATCTACTAATGTTAAATCCCTCCCCTAATACCTTCTTGTATTGGGACTGCCATTACTCAAATTAATAAATTGCTTTAAGTATATAATTAAACCACAATTTACGAGCATGCAAGCAAGTTGATGAATCAATAGTATCTATACATGCATCACACCCTTCCTCCTCATTTACATATATGCAAATATAATTATATGCCCATTTTGTACCTTTGCTCCTTAGACAACTATTGGACATACATTAATGTATGTAGTCTAGAATACAAACAAGGAAGAACGCTATAGTCGAGTACCTCGACTATCAGATACCCGTTACTCAAAGGGAAATGGAGATATGCAAGCAGCAAAGCGAGATTAAAATGCGCCACCTACCGGCGGTAGACAGATTTAAGCGTTATGGGCGTTAGAGTGGGCGTGGAAAATTTATTTTTGGATCAATCGATAGGTATTGACGACACCAATACATTTCAGTTAAAATTTCTTATCTAGCATGCAAATTGTGGGCGTCACAGGTTTTCGCGGTTTGTGGGCGTTTTAGTGGGCGTGGCAAACTTTTTTTTAGGTCAATCGATAGGTATTGTTGAGAACAATACATTTCAGTTAAAATTTTCTATCTAGCATCAAAACTGTAGGAGTTACAGTTTTGGGCGGTTTGTGGGCGTTAGAGTGGGCGTGGCAGTCTACTGAAACAAACTTGCGCTGCGTAAGTAGCTCAGGAATCTGTACGCCAAATCTCAATAGCCTAGCTCTCATAGTTTCCGAGATCTCAGCGTTCATCCGGACAGACAGACGGACAGACGGACAGACGGACAGACGGACATGGCTAGATCGACTCGGCTAGTGATCCTGATCAAGAATATATATACTTTATGGGGTCGGAAACTCTTCCTTCTGCCTGTTACATACTTTCCGACGAATCTAGTATACCCTTTTACTCTACGAGTAACGGGTATAAAAATGAATAGATTAGGATGTACTGCTTTGTAGATTCTATTAGAAATAAGGTACCATTTGCTAAGATATTTAATTTAAGCCTTAGTAATACTGCTTAATTACCTTTTAACCAACTTCGTGAACTTCGATTGTGTTTCCCAATGCAGCTGCCACCCAGTCGGAGGTGAAGCAGCGCAAGGCAGCGTCCCACGGAGCCAGCGGCAGTAAACACCACCGCTGCTCCTCGGCGATGACCACGAAGGTGTACAGGCAGACCCAGGATCCGCTGGTGAAGAGCGACGCGGCGGTGGCCATCCTCAGCAAGAAGCCGGACTCGAAGGCCTCGCTGGCCTGCGCCCTGCCCTGGGGCCACGGCTGGGGATGGGCCACGCTGCCCAACGGGGTGTGGAGCGGCGGGCTGACCTGGTCGCAGTGCGAGGACACCTTCACCCTGCACGCCCTGCCCACCACCCACTGCACCAACCTGATCGACACCTCCTGCAGCGGGGCGGTGTACCACACGGACATCGGCGGCTTCGACTTCCACTCCTCGGGCGTGGACGACATCGGGGGCGAGGACTTCGACTATGCCATGGACTGCGGCGACTTCATATTCTAGACTCCCTCCAGCACGACCTTCAACCAGCCACCCACCCGGCGGGCAGGACACTTTCGTCCTTGCCCGCACATTTCGCCTTCGATTGGAAGGCGCCAAGCAACTGGTAGTCGCTTGGGAAGTACTTAATATTTAACCGTGCTTTCGTTAACCTCTGAGTGTTAGGTGTTGCCAAATGGAGAGGGAACTCCCTGGCGTTGCGCATACGCCCCATTGTCCTTGTCCCCCTGCGGTTAACTATCCGCTGAACCCACTAGTCTGTGCATCGCCCTAAATGCGTTAAGCAGTTAGACTGCAAGTACATGTACGATTCCTCGCGATTTTTGAAAAACATATTTCCCATTTACCTCAGTGTTCTAAAAAATATAAATGCGCATATACAGCTAAGGCCAAGGAAATAGTTGTGACATCTTGAACCTTAGACTAATGTCAATCCAGAAATTGATTACCTCTTTTAAACTTGTCTTTACGATGAAATGTTGGAAAGAAAATGCGGAAATTACAAAAAAAATGTCAACATTTATGAGTTGTTTAAAGTTTTAAAGTACAACATAATCATTAGGGCCATTTTCTCAATGTCTTCTTAACATTTGACATTGAGTTTATTTGGTGTTTCCGAAAAAAATATAATTTCTCGAATCCGGTTAAGCTTATCTGACTGAAAAGTTTTAAAACTAGACAAGTTTGTCGATCGACTACGTATAGCCTTCTTCTGCATGTTTTTTTATGTTGTCAATCGTAAAATTAGTATCAGTATTAGTTAGTATGCCAGATAACAAACTAAATACTTAACTTGTTATTGAGCAATCGGTATTAAAAAATGTATAGTTCCTTGTTTGACTCGTTTATAAATCTTCTTCGAAATACTTCCGAACCAAATTCAGTTGGTGTTTGGGTGTCACAACTATTCTGGCCGCCGCTGTAGTTCCTCTTCGAACCCTGGCTGATACACGTGTGTCCATGTACCCAGCAGAATACATAGACACACATATGTAAAGCCGCACACTCGCCAACCCACAACCAACCACCACAACCACCCACAACCACCCACAACCCACAACCACTGCACCCACTCCCACTCCCACTCCCACCCAACCCCAACCGCATTCAGCCATCGCAGTCGCAGTTGCAACCACAAGCATTTGAAATGCGAAAATATTTTTGCATCGCGCATATAAGTAGGCTACAACATATTTTTGCACTCGACGAGCAAACAAATTACAATAAATAATGCAGACAAGACGAGGCGACAACCAAATTAAAAACGAGCAAAACAACCGCAAGAGATTGAAATACTTTTGTGTATTTTGAGACTTTTGAAATTTATATTGATGCAATTTGTAATGGAAACACTTTTCAAATTGTTTTGCCATGATTTTCTAGAATTTTTGGAATCGATAGTATTTAACCGCAAAACCGAGGCCCGGAAACCCCCAATCCCCGGCGTTCCCCGCAAAACCCATTTTGTGTGCAAATTTTTGAAACATTTATACAGATAAAGCGCGCGTATCTTAAGTCAGTCGATAAATCGATAAATGTTTAATATAATTGTGTAAAGCGATAGGAAAAAACAAAAAACAAAACCAGAAGCGGGAAATCACACGCAGAATTTTAAAGTGGAGCGTAGCAATTTTTATATAGCATGTTAAACAGAAATGACAGTAAACAGGAAAACCAGGTAAATAACAAGTAATTAACGAGGTAAAAACGAACTCTAGTCGTAAACTCATACTCCCGCAACAACACCCACACACAGCCAGTCGAACACTATAGTGTAAGTGTAAGTGTTAGCACTTAAGGATGGCATCCGAATGTCAGTTTAGTTTTGGAAACTAACTCACACAGATCGACATACCCACCCGTACTGATGTAAAGTTTATAAAACGAAATCAAGCGAAACACAAAACAAGTTAGCAACCCAGGAAAATCACAGAGTATAAAGCCAAAGACGTGTATACACCTGTATGTACGAGTAATTAGCAGCTAAGAACACACTCGAAATCACACACATTGAAGCCACAGCCGAGTGAAGGTTAATCGCACCGTTCAGCTCACCGCAGTCATCCCACATCGATTCGATTTTGAATTTGATTTTGAGGAACTTTCGCCACAACAAGTGAGGAAGGGAAACGCCGCTACGGACACCTTGAGAAAACTGTAATTGTAACTACGTTTAGGCATATATAGACACTAGGATAAGTCGGAGCGCCCGCTAAGAGTTATATACGATAAATGTACTGTAAGATTGTGCAGGTTTTCAAAATGTTGCATGCCGCGAATATGCATAGAGCTAGAATATAGAAACGCGAAATATTATGTAAAATACGGGTAACAGGACTCACCAAGTCCCCACGCATCTGTTGCATGTCCTTGTATACTTATATATGCTATATTTATGTACAACAATAACCAAGAGCCAAGCTACACGAATCGTAAACGGAATCGGAAACGGAAACAGAAACCGAATCCGAAGTCGAAACCCTAAACCTGAGCCCACAGCCTTAGCTATCATACCCACACCACGCCCACCATTCGCTACTAGCCCCTATAGTATCTACATATATGCATGTGCATGTATACAGTATACAATATACCTATAGCTATAGTCGGGAGACGCGAGTCGGGCACCGGGACTTATATAGAAACACATATAGATCCCGCCACGTATCGTAAATGAAATGTAGACTAAAAGACTTAAGCAATTGTCGTTTAGACGTTAAATTAGAGCGCATTGAATGTTGGCTTATAGTTCTAGACACAGCGATTCAGATCCGAGCGATGAGCGGAGCGTTTAGGAACATATTTAAGGATATCCTCACCACAATGTTTTAGTCTGAAGCCTAGCCCGAATAATCGAAATTTGTTAGCGAGCGAGTAAGGAAGTCGAGAGGAGTCGAAAATGCGAAAACCAAACTAAAACCTAATGAAAAACGAAAATAAACGTAAAAGTAAATCAACCTTGGACAATCACGCATACGCATGTAGGAAAACCGGATTAAATAATGTATGTAAATTGTTTAGGCCTCGGGTCGGTCGAAAGCGATAAAGGACCGAGGATAGCTTGTGTGGCATAGTCTTAGCACGTCCAGCATGGAATCCTAAAGGGCTCCGTGAACTAAACAACAACTAATCTAAACACAGAACACACACACGATGCTCGATTGAGGGCTCGAGCCAGGTCAAGCTTCAATTAAGTGTCAATCCCCCACGCTCTTCAGTTGGACCGAGAAGTATTTTTGTAAACTTTATTAAGAACACCGAAGTCGAAATCGAAATCGAAAACAGAAACAAAAACAGAACAAAAGAAACCCAAAACATGGATGTTTTAATGCGAAACTAAGCAGATGTAAAACAAAAGTATACTTTAGAGGCAATTTTTGTAGTATAATTGTACACGTAAACTGCATTTCCGATGTTAGCTGAACAACCGTATATAGAATATATATAGTGTATACAGACACCCACTTATAAGTGTATGGCGACCGCGAATCGAGCGAGATACACCCGTTTTTATCGTGCTGCGCATTTTCAGCCGGCGGCTGAACTGTGAATAGTACCCTAGGTATAGGTAGCGTGGCATCGCGTGCAAACCGCATTTGCATTTGATGTAACCGAATTATGAAATTGTAGAACTAGAACCCAATCGGAAATCGGTGGCAAGTCGTTGTGAAATGATCCGTGAGAGGAGGGGGCGCCCACGGCAGCCGAGAGCAAGAGCAACCGGAAGCGGAAGCAGGCTTCCCGCCATCCGGCCATCTCAGCGCGCATTGCGTATACGCCCCGGCGGTCCCAGCTGCAACTCACACTTAGGCTAGTAAGTTCGCGTTGTTTGTTATCAGTGTCGTTGATGTTGATGTTGAAATTGAAATTGAATTGCCGTGTCATTGTTAAACGTATTCAAGTTGTAATCCGACGGCGTTCGGAATTAGCTGTTTTTGCGAACCGGAGAGAGAGAACGCAGGAGGCGTTAGGAGGTTAGGCAGGGCGGCACTCATCGACCCACGCAGGAGATTATACAAATTATACAAGCATTATACATAGGTGTGCATAATACCCACATATATACATTGGTGTGGCAAGCTGCGGACGGGGCTGCGACCCAGACCACGACTCGAACCAACCCAAGATGTCGAGAGGTCTTAATCCACCAGCCGCGCAGCCTTGCCAAAGACTCTTCCAAGTCCCCCGAGTTTCCCCCCGAACAGTAATTAGCGAAGTAACTACGTTATTCTATAGATGTGTATGTGTCTATAAATATATTTTGTAGACGTTCACTCGCCAGACGCCGCCAGCTCGATCAAACTAAGACCCAAAGCCAACCCAAGAAGCCATCGGTTCCGGCCAGAAACCAAAAGATCTTTTCGGCAGGCTCAGATTGAGATTGAGATTCAGATTCAGATTGAGGTTCAGATTCAGGTTCGGGTTGAAGCAACTCGAGCCAAGAGCAAGTGCTGCCACTCTCTTGGCCAACTGGCCAGCTTAAGAGAGGAGCGGAGTTCGCTCTCAAATGGTTTCAAACCGCAGCCCAAGCAAGCGAACAATGTATGAATAATTATTATGAACGATGAGCAAATAGACGTTAAGCGAACAGCAAAGAAGTCATCAAGTGAATCAGTCGACGGGCCATATACGAAGCTCGAATGCCCTACACGGTTATAATTTTGCATCAGTACTAAGCCGAACAATTGTTTATATTATTGAACATTTATGACGTCCCCATAGTATAATTAGGAATATTTTGAAACTGTCACAGCCTTAAGTCTAAGAGCTAAATCTTATATTCCGAAGTGTATTTCTTTACGTTGCCATAAGAACAAATAAATTTTAAAAATTTTATATCAACTTTACATTTTGCATAAGGAAAACACAAAATCAAATTGTAATTATGTCATTTTCAAAACAATTTAAGTAATTCTCAGTTTAAGCTTGACTGTAAACAAGATTGGCCAACATGTTTTATTATAAGTTATGTGCAATTTCGAAAGCTCTGTGGTTAACTTAATTAAGTTCAAAAATGTTCAAGTAAGCACTCTGCATTTGTATTACGGCTAATATTTTTGAGAGCTCTTCCTCCTCCTCCCTAACTATGATTTATGGCTTGCCAATCGAATGCTAAAATAAACCCCATCCAAGTTTTGATTCGATGACTTCAGAAGGGGTTGATGGAGAGTGGAGGGCGGAAAACATCTGCGAAGCGTCAGCGTTGATAAATGTAAAAAAGCAAATAAAGTTTAGCAACAACATCTGAGAGAAAGAAATAAACCAAAAAGGCCATTGAGCGATAAGTACATGTTTCTCTTCGCGTGCACGCACATGTGTGCAAGTGTGCCCTGGGTTCCCGGGAAGGGTCGCCACATGGGGGTTCTACCCGATAACTTGACTCACCCGACACGCCATCATCCATGATCAGTTGGCGGTGCAGCGCTCGATGTCGCCAACTTCGCAACTTGTTCGGGCCGGTCATCGGTATGCCATATGGACTGTGAGTGTGGATTTCGAATCGGAATCTTGTCTCAGTCAGCGCGCAAACTTCTAAGCAAACAGTCGCAGCGCGGGGCTCCTCGAAAACGCGGAAAACCTCTAAATAACCAGCAACAGCGACACAAATCGGGGCACACGCGGCGTATACGTAATTACAGTCCGTCAACAGCTGGCCAGTTGCCCACAGAGGAGCCACCAGCTATCCTTCGGTGACCCACTTCGCGTCCGGCTCTAAAGTTCAATCCTCGTTTAAGTGCCTCCTTTATGTGTCAATAAACTCGCGTGTCCACTCCCCAGTCCGCCTCCCAGGTCAACAGTGCCCACTCCCAGCTGCTCCAGTCCAGACTTGGTGGGCTGTCCTCCACACAGCCGGTAAGTTCATTTCGGCAGGGCAGTGTATGCAAATCGCGGCTCCAAACACAAACAAAGCCGGCGCAGAGTTAGTCAGCGAGAAACGACGTGTGCCAAAAAGCCGAAAAATACATAAATTAATGGTGTTGTTAGGGAGTGAGCGGTGCGACAATAAGAAGAATGCGGTTTTCGTACACCCTAGACCCAGACAAAGGCCTGATAAAAATGTAGTCAGTCAAGAAGTTAGAAAAAGGTGTGACTTTATAATGACAACTATAATTCATATTAACTATTTTTGAGTACTGAAGAATAGCTTATCAAAGTTCTAATGAGCTAATCAACTTTACCTCATCCAAAGGTCTTAAGTCATTCATATATACTTTCAGAGGAATTAATATATTTTGTTATACGCAAAAAACACAAACAATTTTAGATAAATTTAAAACTTGTGTCACGCAAATACAATATATGTGACACTATGATCTTTCGATGATAGGCATATTAATCAAGATAATAAATCATAAATTCTTAAATATGCGCATTAATTCTTTTTTAATCAAAATAATTAAAACTTTGTTGACTAAGAAATGCTTTAAGGCTGAATAACTAGAAAACCTAATGTTGTTTGTCCCTATATCTCTAAACATTGGATGAGTAACTTTCATTATATCTACAATATTACGAGCTCCCTGCTTATCCAGTCAGTTGGCTTTCTCTGCCTTCGTTCACTTGTCAGGCAAAATTCCATTTCATCGTACGAAAGCGATTCAGATTTTCGGCAGCATATTGTGTTTAAGACCCACTGGCAAATTTCAAACGTACGTTCCTACCTTTCGCGAGTGTTTTTCGGTCCAGATTTGTAGTTTTATAAGTACACGTTGCTATAACCGTTGGCTTTCATCGAAGTTTTTTACGTTTCTCGCGAGTCAAAGTGAATTCAATTGGATTGGTTTGTTCATTGATCGCACCGTATTAGGAGCGGCCATCGGCCCACAATTGTCAGTCTAAGTCTGGGTCTGGGACCTGATCTGGGCACGGTTTCAACGGTTTCAACGGCTTCCACTTCCACTTCCAGATCGCCACCCACGTCCACAGCTACAGACGCCTCCTGGCGACATTTATTGGCCTGCTGCTGCCGCTTTTTGTTTGTTTTGAGCCAACTGCGTGACTCACCTGAGAGTCTCAATCTGAGTCTGGGTCTGAGCCGGGTCTACACTTTGAGCCCAGCTTAGTCGCGTCGTCACCTTGGCCGCAGCCCACACACGAACCTCGCGGCAAATCGCATCGAATTCAACCGACTGGGATCGAATTGAATAGACTCCATTTGGCGATGGCGTCACAAGGTTCCGGAGAGATGAAGACTTCACGGCTGGCGCAAATGCAGGTGAGATTGTCTCTCGGGGGCTTGTTCAGTCTACCTTAGTACACTTGCTTTTCTGGTAGAACACTGGTTCCCAAGAAGCACTTTTGAAAACCAAGTCTGTATTTGTTTTGTTCAGGCATTGCAACATGTTGAATATTACTTATGCCGATAGTGACAAACCAGTTATATATTTGATAATAACTATATTTCAAACCAGGAAGTTGTTAAAGCTGATAGCCGTCTTTTTTGAAGACGAATTCTGGTAGATTTTTTAAATTTGTAAGACCGCTATTTATTTTATTAAGAGTAGCTCCAATATAAGCCAGATATCTACTTTAATTTCCGTGACGTTCCATAAATGGTTTGATGCTTTTGCTGGAGTTCTATTTTGGGTTCTCTGACTGAAGTTTCTCAGCGAAACGCCAGCTAATTAATTTGTATTTGCCGCTGCTCATATTTGGTAATGGGAACTTTTGTCGCCCCCGCAACGAACAAAAAGCACTCCTTGAATGCCATCTGTTTGCGGCAAACAGAGGCGTCGACAGCACAGGGGGTACTATATATTCCCCGCAATCGGCTGTAATTAGTGTTGGCCAGACTACGTCACTGTATTAGCCACTTAATATCCAAAAAGGGTTGACATTAAGAACGCAAACATACTCAATTGCACAGGGAGAAATTGAAAAAAGAACAAGTAAATATTATTATACCAAAGAGACAAATCTTAGGTTGAAAGAAAATAAATTCAAAAAAAGTTTTCAAGAACTAAGATTTTAAGTAACCAACGTTAAATTTGCTTTGCTTTCTAAGGCATCTTGTCTTAATAAAATATAATATTAAATAACAACCATTAATTTTAGGAGCTTAAAAAAAATAAGTAAATTATATAACTACTAATATAAGAACAATATTGTTATGATAATATGAATATTTAAATTTGGTTAGGTTTATATGTGATCCAGGTATTGAATAAAAAAAATTTCAATAATAAAATGTAATGTTACCTGGTTTGAACAATAATACGTTAATTGTAGAAAAATATGATATTAAACTGTTGACCATGGTCCGTGTTAATAGCTAAAATATAAAAAGTAAAGTGTTCAGTAATAGGTAAATTAGGTAGAACAAACATTTATTAAGGATTTTTTTTATTGAGCCTTCAGACTTTTCTCCTGGTGTCCATTCATCCACCTATAATAATTCATCAATCAGAAAATTTACTCAGGAAAACAGGCGCGCGCGATTTTTATCGCTGAAAGGGCGGGCGGGCGAAGGACAATGCTAAGGTCCTTTGTCACCTGGCCGCCGCGCTTCCTCGGCGGCATTCAACAATTGCTGAGCATTCGGGGCTGTTTAGGGGCGGGTGTATGTGTGTCCCATGTGGCCCGTGTCCTGGCAACGATGCAGTCATTGATTTTTTGTTGTTATTGCTGCAAGTCAATAACAACAAAAACAAATGGCTGGCTAAACAAAAGGACAGCCAGCTAGGATTTCTCGAGTGTCCGATAAGCACAAAGGACTTGCTTTTTTCGCTTTGGACAACTTGCCAGGTGGCCATGGCTGAGTTCGAAGGCCACTACCAGGACACCAGCGGCAGAAGACAAGCGCACTAAGAGCAGGGTTTTCGGAGGGGCAGCCACGGGAGGAGCATGCCCGCAACCACGTCCACACCCACAGCCACACCCGGACCCCCGACCCGTTCCCGGGGACAGGATAGGGTTTCCTTCGCCCAGGCGGGTCGAGTGGCAAGGGGTTTTATGTACTGGCGGCACGTAAGTGGGCACGGATTTATTCGCAGGGGCTTCGGGGCTGGGAGGTGGCTTTGGGGGTGACACCTCCTCATCGCCAGAATAGACAAGCAAACAAAGCACGAGCACAAGCACAAACACACTGAAACCTGTGCACTTAATGACTCCACTCGGGGGAAATGGACGCGCTAATGTCCGGTTCCCGTTCGCTCAGTTGACACGCGCTCTCCGGCCCGGAATGTTGCAATCGGCGGACGGGGACGAGGACGCAGACCTGCTCCAGTACGACTTCGAGCCTGAGCCCGGCCAGGACCACATTCTGCCCCTGAAGCTGAACGAGTCCTGGGCGGCCAGGCGCCTCATGGAGGCACTGAGTCACCTGCCCCCCAGTGGCAATGGCAGCACTAACTCTGCACCCGTAAGACAAATAAAGAAGTATTAATATGTCTAAAAGGTTTAACAGTGCAAGAATTAAAGGTCATCAAGCTTTATACAAAGTTTATAAACAACAATCCTGCTGTATTGGATAGTCGGTTCTGAATATTTGCCTAACCTTTAGCTAAGTACACGTATATTAACATTGTTAATAACCAACATGATTAAAAATAGTTTTAAAAAACCGACTTACTAATGATTAATTCATGTTAAATCTGGAAAATGTGTATAAAGTGTAACTGGTTTTTCATAGTTAAGTTGAAATGATTACTCAAGCGATTTTTCTGATATTACCTGAACTTACATTTTTTATAGCGGTGTATTTTACTTGACAAATTAGCCTGCTATAATGAGAAACTCTAATCTATTACGATCCCATTTTCCTATGCATAAATAAATACTCTACCACCACATGGAAATTGAATCAATTTTACTTTCCACCATTAGATGCGTTTTCAGCAGCGAACCCAGCAGGAGCAGGAGGTGCGTCGAAGGGAGTTGATGGGCGCGAAGGCGAGTGTGGAGAACCTGGCGACTGGAGCGCCCAGTGCGGCCACCACCAGGCTGATCGGCAATGGGAAAGTGCGTCAGATGTTCGATGAGCGTCGCCGAGGAGCGGGCATCGATCGCAGCAATCCCCTCAAGCCGATCGGTACCCTCCCATCGCCGCCCGCCCCAGCCAAAACCCGCCCCCAGCCACCAATGCAGCGGCTCATCAAGGGCGTATCCGACATGAATCTCAGGGATCCGCCCAACGCCGCCCGACGCATTACCAGCGACAGCAATAACAATAAGTTCGCCACTACTCCCCGGACTACTGTGAACCGGAACCTAAAGCCCGTGGTCACCCGGAAGACGCCGCCTGCCCAGGAGACAACGCTCGACCAACGATCCATGCCCTCGCCGCAGCGCAGTCCCAAGGTGCCGACGTCAAATAGGATGGCCGGTGGCGCCTCCCCGCAAGTTGGTCGCCTTTCGCCGCCTGTAATTCGCAAGGTGAGTACAATCAAAGTGGCACGGTATTGTCATTCACATGCTAAACTATTTCCAAACAAATATTTTATGTCTTTCGACCCGGTTTAGTCGCCGCCTAAATCCCCAGTTAAAAAGGGAAATATGGTGAGTATCTCAGATTATTAGTCAGAAGTGCACCTATACTGAACTTACCCTCTCATTTCCAGGAGTCCATGTCGGCAGCCCCAGAGGGCACCGCTGTATGCAGGCACTGCGGACGACACTTCAACACAGATCGTCTTGGGAAGCACGAGGCGGTGTGCCAGCGCATGATGTCCAACAAGCGCAAGATCTTCGACGCCTCCAAGCAGCGGATCGAGGGCACCGAGGCCGAGAAGTACAACAAGAAGCCGAAGGGAACCCGTACACGAACCACGTACAGTAGTGCTGCCCAGCAGAAGGGCCTGACCACCGGGGTGAAAAAGAACAATTGGCGCAAAAAGCACGAGGAGTTCATCCAGTCGATCAGGGCCGCCAAGCAGGTGCAAGCACACTTGGCCCGCGGTGGCAAGCTGAGCGACCTGCCTCCGCCGCCGCCTTCAGAGAATCCTGACTACATCCAGTGCCCGCACTGTGGACGTCGATTCAACCAACAGGCCGCCGAACGGCACATCCCCAAGTGCGTCAACATGATGCACAACAAACCCCGGAATGGTCCCCCCCCGAAGAGGCGTTGAATGATGATTGGGAATCGGTATTAGCTGATCTCTGGTTGATAACAGTGAACATGCCCATACTTTTACTTGTGATAAAGAAGTTTGATGATTGAAACGAATCTAAAGTAGGATATAACTAGGGTGGTTTGGGCGTGGGGATGCTAATCGGAAAGCACCTCCACATCGTTATCGGCGGCAGAAGGCGCGACTGGCGCCGCAGTTGATCCAGATTTTTCGCGCTCAATAATGGCCTTCACCGCTTCGGCAGCTTTGTTCATCTCCAATCCTTCGAGCATGTACGCCCAGTTGTCCAGTGTGGCGTCGTCGTCATCGGAGATCCAGTTGGTCAGCATTTGGACGCAGGCCACGTTGGCCGTGGGGTGCTCCATTTGGAAGAAGAGCAGCTCGTCGTTGGTGAATCCAATCTTCTTGCCCACCTTCATCCAGGGCTCGCCGATCAGGGGGGCCACCTCTTGGATGTGCTCTTTGGTAACCATTAGGGGTTTTTCGTGTGCTGGCACCTCATCCACCTCCTCCACCACGGGCTCGTTATCCTCTACCTCGAGATCCTGCTCTGGTTCACCGTCCTGAAGAGCCACTGTAGCATCCTGGTCGCCTTCCGCACTAGCATGGTTCGCCGCCAGTCCGAAACTGTTCTCCGAAGAGTTGCTGGATAAAAGAGCTGCAGGCTTGGGCTCCTTGTCCCGGATGAGACGCTTCCGCACTTGCTCCAGATAGTCGGAGATCTTGCTCGATGGTTGAGAGAGCGATGTAAAGAAGTGTGGTGTTTGGCGGGCAAGTAAACGCAATGCTCGCCACTCAAAAGCGGGGTCAACCTTCTCATGCGGCGTCTCCAAATATGTCTCCAACAGCGGCAGGAAGTTCCGCTGCTCGCTTTTGCAGGCCTGCAGGTTGTCCGGAGAGTAGTTCCACAGACGTGTTAAGTTATCACTGGAAGGGTTTTGCTTAAAATTATGCGATGCTGCTTGAGTTATCAGTACTTACTTTCCCAAGAAGAACTTGCCATTGCGGGCAGCATCACGCAGGGCATCGCCCAATGCACGCCTTGGTCTCTTGGTAGGAGGTGGCTTTGAGTCCTCCTCGTTGGCGGCCGGCTCCTCCGGCTTTTTAAACTCCTTGCAGCCCTCGTTCTTCCAATTATTCCACATTTCCTCGCGCACCAGCATATGGTGTACAGTTCGCGAAAACCTCTTGCCGTACGGCGGCGTCTCCTCTAGCAACTTATAAACACGAGACTCTGTATCCTTGATAAAGTCTGCCTGGTCTGCGGTCAAGGTATAAGTATCACTGGAAGTACATTGGTTATAGATTACTATTTATCATTTGTGACTTCTTATTTTACTCACATTTTAAATTTTACACTGACTTGAAGGTACTGAAATAGAATGAGAAACTGTACCAGGACCGCACGTCGGAAATTGGCGTCGGAGAGTTGTAGTGCCAGTAGTTTTGGATTGGTCAGGAACTTGGCAAAGAAATGGTTCGCCTTGACCACGGCGTTCACCGCCGCAGCATCAGCGGCCTCTTCGTCCACCTCCATTGCTTGGCCAGTCTCGCTGGCATTGTCGCTGCCACTCTGCCGCACGTCTTCCAGCTTGAAGCTCGAGAATGACTGCAGAATATTCTCAGCGTGCTAGAAAGAAGTATTTAAAATGATTTTGACTAAATTGTGGTTTCAAATGGGACGAGTTTGTTATGGCTTTTGATATGTCATCCTTCGAAACTCAAGAATGCAGATATGCATTTCTTTATTTACATAATTAAATGCCCAAACACTGTTCTGCAGTGTACTGCTGTTGAAACAATACCGCCCACTTATGTTTCTACAAGGAGCTACTCACCATCTGGAACATCTTCCACTGCGCCTTGTTGTAGCACTGATTGGGATTGCGGAAGAAGTCCTGGAGGGACCAAAACTTGCAGTACAGGTCGTAGTCGATTTTCAGGGGGATGTCCTCGGCAGTGTCTTCCAGCTCCTTGTTGTCGCTCTCGTCGTGGTCCTTGCTGTCCAGCCCATACTCCGTGAAATTGTCCAGGTTGAACTCGGACACGATGTTCAGGCCGGAGCGTTCCGAGAAGGGAAAGAACTTGGAGAGAAAGAGCTGGATGCGGCCGCAGAAGACAGTGTTCTGTGTGCGCGAAAGGCGTCGCAGCAGGTCGTTGCACATGCGCAGGATGTTGTTTTTGCAGGAGGCGAAGAACAGCTCTTCCTTCCACACCTCCACCAGCTCCTCGACAAACTGGAAGATCTCCTGGCACTTGTCCAGCGTGACTACGTCGAAGGTGTCGATTAGCAGCACCACCGGAATGGTGTTCGACACGATCTCGGCTCTCGTGGCGTCCACGGACAGGCGCACAAGCTCGCCTATGCGCTGCACATCGTCCTCCAGCCGCTTCATGAGGAGCACACGGAAGGCATGGTCCATGGGCAGGCGCTTGTCGTGCTCGGTGTTGGCCGAGAAGCTGTTGTACTCCTTGACCAAAAGCTCCACGTTGCCATCGGTTATGGCCAGTTCCAGGGCTTTCTGCAATTTAATTGTTGAGATCAGAGCCCATGATTGCCGGCTACGGATCCTGTTATTCACCGTCCCTCACCTCAAATGCTGCCTGCAGTTCAAAGTAGTTGGCCAACTTCCCCGGAGCCTTGTTGGCCACTTCTACAGCGGTGGTCATTTCGTTTCAAACAAAAAGCGAGGCGTCAACAGCAGGAAACAATTAACTAATTTTTATGTTTTCAACCAAAACAACACGGTCAGGGCTGCCAACCTCTTTGGTTTTTCCCTGGTGATTTACAACTAATACTGTAAAAATACCAAACCATCGATAACAAATCGATTTCTCATGCGGCGGGAAGTTGTAGTTTTGAAAATGATAAACATTATTTAGGATCAGCAGAGTTTTGTCTTTAAGTTATTTTTATTATAATTAAAGAGGTAATGTTAACTAATTAATTTTGTTTTCAAAAAGTAGTGCTAAAAAAATGGTTTTCTTATAAATCTTATAAATGTTATTGATTATTTTTCGTTTAAAATTATAATGAAATAGTTGTTTCTGTGCCCATATTTTCAAAGCTAGAGAGTTAAAATGCTGCATTGGCCTATGAAGCTTATGTTTGTTCTAGCCGAGTGCCGCGCCCACTCTAACGCCCACAAACCGCAAAAAAGCTGGCTGCGCCCACATTTTTAAAAATTTTGTAAAGTGCATATTTTATTTTGTTAGTTATTATTTAACGACGTGCAAAATGTCTGCATTGGTTAATAATTTAAATTGCATGGTTAATCCCAACTTTGTAGCTTTTATAGTTTCCGAGATCTCATCGGTTATACGGACAGACGGGCAGATAGGGTCGATAATGATTTCATCTCCCTATTATACTTTCTGACGAATCTAATATACCCTTTTACTCTACGAGTAACGGGTATAACAACATATATACAAAGTTATAAGGCCGAATATTTACCTGATAGCGTTAGCATTGAGCTGGGGCACGCTTAAATGTTATCAGCTTCCAAAGCAAATCAAAACAGATTCAAGATTCCAAATACTTTCCCACTCTGTGCAAGGTCGCGGAAGTTTTATAAGTAGACCAGCCGAATCTAATACATATCAGCTTTGGTATTATTCAGAATCTAAATCTCGGACAGAGTGGCCATGCGCAACTCAATAGTATACGTTCTGCTGTGGATTCTGGCGGTGAGCGCGGTCAACTGCAGCTTGGTGTTTGATCGGCTATTCCCTGGCCTTAAATATCGAAGTGCTTCTAGGCAGCAATATTATCCTGGCAACTACGGCTACAGGCGACCGGTGCCAGCTCGTCAGAAGCCCGTGCGATCCTACAAGGACATCTGTAGGGTGGTTAACACCAACGGGTTCTTAAATCCAGGCGGAGTGCCCAAGTGTCCTTATTAGACGGCACAGCATTTTATACAACAAAACCAATGTGCAACTAATAAAAACAAAAGCCCAGGTGACCTTTAACAAAGTCTAAGACGCATTTACCATTTGTACATTTTACTAAAGATCAACGGTAGCCATTTACTAGCCTGCACTGTATTTTATACACTTAAAACCACATGTACAACTTGGGTAATTCACTAAATAATTATAAATATAAAAGCGGTGCTTAGAAGTTATGGTCATGTGCTAAGCCTATTATAGCTAATTCCTAGACAACAAAAGCAACAACCTTATGCTAGGCATGAAAGGGGTCCACCCCGGGGCTCTAGAAAAGTCGCTTCTGAACTATGTAGAAGACACACGCGAGGAACAGGCAGAAGGCGAAGAAGAGAAGCATCTTGTCGGTGCACTCGCGTCGTCCGTACTTCTTGAGCAGCTTGCCGGACATGGTGATGGTGCCGGCCGTGTTCTGCAGCTCGTCGCTGGTGGCCTCCACATTCTGGGACGAGGCCACGAGCGTCTCTAGGGTGACGGCGCTCTTCTGGGTGGTCTCCGAGAGGTGCCGGGATATGGCCAGCATCTTCTCGGTCACGTCGTTCTCCTGAGAGACCAGGCTGCCCTGGTTGTGGCGCGCTCGTGTCGTTGTCCGCTGGCGCAGCTCACTCTCTCCGGTAATGGCCATCAGCTCCTCGCGATTGGCCTTCTCGATCTCCAGCATCGTGGACACGTTGGCCTTTCGGAAGGCCTGCAGCGTCTTGGAGAACTGGTCGCGGTGGGTGTCCACCTCCTTTGCCAGTGCCGGATCAGTCGTGTCCCGTGCCCAGTCGTCCAGGCGCTCGATGCTCCTCCTGATGGCCGACAGCTTGGAGCGCCCCGCTTCGTTCAGCTCCTCAAGTTCGGCGATCGAGGTGCGGCTGTTCAGGATGTCCTGCAATTGGGAGTTTGCAATTTGGGCTGCCTCTCCAGTTAGCACCTCTCACCTGTATTATCGCCTTGGCCTGCAGGTTGTTGTCGATGAGGTCCTGCCGGATGGACTGCAGCGTAAACGTGTCCTTGTCCATGGTTCCAGGTAATTGTTTTGTTTTTCAAAAATTATATTACTTGCTCTGGTGACGTGCAAGCACACGTAAGTTTACCAACACTAGAACTTCAGCAAAGTAAGTATCGATAGGCCATCGCTTTAGCTGAAATCTATCGATTTTAAAATAAGTTGGCATGTGTTATTTGAAAACCTTACTAAATATTGGTAAAAAATTGTAAATAGAATTGATAAAATAATTTAAATGCAATTTTAATCAAATATCATTATATTATCCATCAATACAACATAGGAAAATACTGCATTTATCGATTTAATGTTGTTGCGCTAGGATGCCCGTAAAGTTTCATCTCTAAAACAGCCTTGTGGCCGCGAAGCGACCATAATTTCAGAGTATTTTTGCCATTATTGGGATCAACCGCGAATCAAATGAGACGCATCCAGGAACCCCTGCCTTTCTCTTCGTCAACAATTTAAGTTATTGTAGCCGGAAGCATGTCCGATTCAACTATCCTTTCTTTTGTAAGTTTTGATTCGAGTCTCCCAACGAGTTAATTCAGATTTCGTCTCGTTTCATTTAGTAGGACTCCACTGCTGAATCTTTAGTCCCTGGCCACTCATCGGACAGCGACGTATCCAACTCCAGCGCTACTTCTAGCTCCAGCTTCAGTGCATCCGCGGCATCCAATTCATCGGCGGCCTCCAATTTATCTGCAGAACCCAATTCATCGGCGGCTTCCAACTTATCTGCAGCTTCCAATTCATCAGTGGAGGCCGCCAATTCATCCCTGGAAACCAATTTATCCTTGGAAAGCAGTTCATCATTGGAACACCATTCGTACTCGGAACACCATTCATCCCTGGAATCCAATTCACCCTCGGCATCCAATATCACCGACACTTCCGCGGACGGATCAAACATCCTGCAGTCCACGCAGGAAGATAGCTCTTTGAACATGATCCACGATGAATCCCACTCCCTGGTCAACTTGTCCGTTCCGGACGACGATGTTCCCTCGCAGATTAGATCACTCTCGCGAAATATGGCCGATTTTGAAGCCGAATTAGATGGCAGTAGGTCAACCTGAGTATTTAGTAGCAGTATCACACTGAATGACTCTTATGTCTTTCAGTTAATCGTTACTGCAACCGCGTGGTCCAGAACGTAATAAACATTACACCAACATCTACCTCAACACCAACAGTTGTGCGTGGAAATCGTCGCAGGAGTGACAGTAAGTGCAAAACAAGTCTAATCCAAGCCTTGATTTCACGTTGCTCCATTATATACCGCGTATTGAAACTGCTTATAAGGAGATTACAAAATCCACAAGAAAAATCATCCGGACTGTATGTAGATCAGTCCCAAAGCTCGCAGTACTGTGCACCAAGCCTTACTTGCGTTTTTCTCAAAAACGCTTTGCTATTTAAGTTATATGTTAGATGCCTCTCCTTAGATTTGTCTTTAATTTTTGGTCCTTTTACAAAATATTCTATACATTAGATTCTTGACTGGTAAAATTGGGGAATGTGCATTGATATATGTATATTTTTTTCTTGTACCTTGTACCCTGTTTACTATATCAAATACCTTGTATTCACATGGTAAAGAAGTAAACAGACTACTCAAAAATGCCATAACCTAACCCTTATTTGACCTGAACATATGACGAAACTTATATTACAAATCTAAGGAAGACTAACTAAACAACTTATTACCCAATAGCGCTCACTTACCAATGTTTTAAGTAATGACACGAAATTGTTCTAATTTTCTTCTAGTAACTCCAGTGGAAGTGATAGATTTGTCCCATCTGGAATTCGTACCTCCAATTCGATCCGCCCGTAATCGAGCTCCCGACGCTGTTATCGACTTGTGCACCCCCGACGGAGCCAGACGCCGTTTAGAGACTCACACGAACGACTCGCCTACCATTCACAATCGTCGTCCTGTCCTTGCTCGGCGGATCGAAAATTCTCCAGTAGTGGATCTCGACGATGTGTCGCCGCCCAAGCGCGCCCACCGTGATCCCGAGTTGTCCCAGAGGGAGGATGCCTACAAATGCCCAGTCTGCATGGAAGGCGTGAGAGACCGCGAGCCGGTGTCAACAAAATGCGGACACGTTTTTTGCCGAGAATGTATCCAAACTGCCATCAGCTCCACGCACAAGTGTCCGATGTGCAACAAAAAGCTAACAGCACGTCAATATAATCGCATTTATCTATGAGTTGCTTGTTCTGTACTTTATTTGAATTTGCTCTGTGAGCTACATTCCAATTCCTATTAATATATATTTTAATATAGTTCGTTTAAATTATTGGCCTACATAATGTTAAAGACGGCAAAAGAATGTCCGATCTTGTGATTTACATACAATTATTTTTAAGTTATCTTTTGTAACCCATTCCGCCAAAAAAAATCATTAATACAAGTTTGTGAAATGAAATTTTGCCTAGTTATGAATCGAACCATTCTCAGGTTAGAATAAGAAATCAAGACCGATTGCGATGGTCAAAACTTTAGTTTGAAGAATTTATTAAACGCTGTTTAATGGAGTACATATTTTTGAAGTAAACTGGTCACAGTTAATAATCGGAGGGTTGTTGCCTGACATAATTTATTTGAGCTGATTCGAATCTTTGAAGACGTCAACCGACCAGCTTATATACCATAAGTGAAAATAGCAATATTAAGCGATCAAAGGGACAGACGGTCATGGCTAGATCGACTGGCTGTTAATTAGAGCTGTAAAAACATCGATAGTGCCCCTACTCGATGTTTTCGATAGTGATAGTCCAAACAATCGATATTTTCGATAGTATCAATCGAATTATTATCTAATTTTTTATTTTGTGTTTTAAGCCTATTTGCTTTCAATTTTTTTAATTGCGAGGTATGAATACAGCTGCGACAAAAACCATACAATGTATTAAACTATTAAACACATATAAAAACAAATAGGTTAAAAATTTAAAAGATTTTGATTATAATAATTACTTATATTTTTTTTTTATTCATAAGTTAGAAAACTTAAAAATTCTCGTATGCTTTAAAAAGTCGATATAAGCCATTATCGTTTGCCTTCTGATGCTAAAATCGAGAACATTAAAACTATTAATGAAAAACCAAGCACATTTCATAAACATGTTTTTTTTATTGATTATAATTATAAGCGAAAACATGATTATAAATTAAAGTTAAGAACCAGTTAAGATAATAATGATTATAATGAAATTAACAAAAGAGAGATCATCCGTTCCTCGGGAATTACATGATATTGATATAGTTGATTATAAATTAAATAAAGTTAAGAACTACTTGAGATTATAATGAATATAATGAGATTAACAAAAGAGAGATCATCCGTTCCTCGGGAATTGTTGTTGATTACGAATTAAACAAAGAAAACGTTTGATAAAAAATAAAATAACAAGTTTAGATAATCCATTCTTTGAAAAACTGCTCTTAATGACTTTGTACCACAAAAAATTTAATCCAGCAGCCACTGATTTTTGTTAAGCGTAAGGAGCGTGTTTAAATGCTTTGGCTTCAAAGAAGAAGAACCACGCTTCTGCAACTAGTGATGTTAAATAAACGCGATACATCGATGGTGGAAAAAAAATCGAGGTATCGCGCAGCCCAGCCACTATCGATACTATCGATATTACTATCGATGTTTTTACAGCTCTACTGTTAATGGTGATCAAGAATATAAAGACTTTACTTCTGACTGAAATTATAATACCCTTTGCAAGTAGATAATAAATAGCAAAGGACAGCATATACAAACTAAAATATATTTTTTTAAAGATTCGTCAGAAGAAATCTACAACTTTGTTTGACTACCAAAATTGTCAAGGGGGTGGGTTAAACTACCAAGCACACTTACTCCCTAAGTGGGTAATATAGAACAAATTATGAGAGTAATTGTGGGAAATAAGAACACACATTTAAAAAAATAACGAAATTTGTGACAATTCTATCTTCCTATAGCGCCACTGACCCACAGCGTCATCAAGCCTATAGCGCCCCTAGCGACTTGGTGGCGTATTAGTGAAAACAGCTTATTTGCTGCGTTTGGCGTGCAATCTCGATTACTGCAAAATTTTGATTATTATTTAATTAAAACTTTTTAATGTCTTTATATTTTGCGTTAGATTCTAGGGCTTCCTGCGAACAGCTTTTTTCTTAAGCCGTCAAAACGCAAAAAACTGCGACGCCGTCTAAAATACAAATTTTAACTGAAATGTATTATTTTACTACTACTAGTGCCTACAAGGACAATGTTTGCTTTAGCAGAGGGCCACGCCACAAGTCCCAATTCCCACAAGTCACAAAAAATTTTTTATGTTCATTACATTTTTGCTTTACTTAATTTTTCAACAGCCATCGGCATGCCCAAATAGTTTAAGTTGTACCATTAGTTTATAATTAAAATTGGTTGGCTAAGTAACGGGTATATGATAGTCGAGGCACTCGGCTATAGCGATTAGTTGAGGGATACATCCCTAAGCCTGAATAATTTTAAATAGAAGGTCTGACTGGGAGCAACGAAAATATTTGCAATCCTCCAAGTATGCTATGCAAAATGTTGAAATGTAAAAACAAAAATTGAATTACATTAATTCTTTATTAGATTTCTTATTTGTTTTCGTTGTTGCTCCCGTTTTTGTATAAAACCACCATAAATATAAATTTCGGTATGAGTAAGGAAATAATAACAAATAGGCCATCCGGTATAGCAAGCTCAATCTACCCTAAGCGTATACCAAAAATTAAAGTTGGGGCTATCAAGGACGACTTAGGATTTACGCTAAGCGAAAGATTGGCCCTCAGACAAGCGTGGAATTTGATCAGACCCTTTGAGCGGCGCTACGGACAGGATGTGTTCTATAGGTAAGCTTTATTTTTATACCCGTTACTCGTAGAGTAAAAGGGTATACTAGATTCGTCGGAAAGTATGTAACAGGCAGAAGGAAGCGTTTCCGACCACATAAAGTATATATATTCTTAATCAGGATCACTAGCCGAGTCGATCTAGCCATGTCCGTCTGTCCGTCTGTCCGTCTGTCCATCCGGATGAACGCTGAGATCTCGGAAACTATAAGAGTTAGGCTTTGTTTGTCAAAGTGCCACGCCCACTCTAACGCCCACAAACCGCCAAAAACTGTGGCTCCTACAGTTTTGATGCTAGATTGGTCAACAATTTTCCGTTATTTATTGTGGTTGCTGTCTTAGTTAATCACTGTACTTATTAATATATTGTTTAATATGTTTGATTTTAAAGACATTCGTATTTGCTTAACGTCTAACATTACTCTTGTTTGCAGACAAAAATTGGGCAAGTGATTCAAAAAAGTTTTTCTTAAATATTAGGACAGTCTTTGTGAAAAATAGACGAATATTTAAAGAGCTATAGCTGGTTTAGTAAAAGTATTCAAAATTATTGATATTGCTCAAAACGTGGATGCCGGCAAATTTGTCTTATTGTTATAGTTGTTACAACTTAAAATGTGCATGCACACGTCAATAATAGATTTTAAGAAAAAAAGGTATAAGTTTAGGGTTTCTTGACATATTAACTTCTACTCTTGGGAAATTCATTTTTTTCGAAAAAAAATGTAAATCAAATCGTACGACTTTATCATGTAGTTGCCATGAACGATCGGATAACTAATGTCAAAGCAATACATCGACTGTTATATTTCGTTTTCGTTAAGCATGTACGGTAGACAATTCAAATGGAACATTATCTTAAAACTAGTGTATAGTTTCGTAAAAAACGGAAAGCTCTGTACATGCAATGATCCCACGGATATAGAAACTTGGAGAGTGCCGAAGTAGCTTTCTTTCTTGTTAAATATAAACTTGCAGCACAGTTGAATAAAACTAAAAACCATTTTCAGGATGTAATGCGAAATAAATATAATTTATTTATTTTCTAATAGCTTAATAAAATAGAAAAAGCGCCTGCAAAACACCTTTTACTAAGGGTGCCTATGGTATATTATGACAAATTAGGCACCCATTATCAGACTATATTTATTGAGTTACACATTTCAAAGAAAATCATATGTTTTTTTGTCAATGCTAAAAATCATAATTAAAATATTTTGCAGTTTCTATGATAACAAAAAAATAACCACAAAAGAATTTGTAATACTTTTACTAAATATAAAGTACAATACAAAATTATTAAGTTCAAAATAAAATTTGTGTCGTTCCTTTAAAAGGTTTTTTCTTACCGTATTATTGATGTTCAGACTTGTTCATAATTTCCAGAAAAAATTTAACAATAAACTTCCAATGGTATAATCCAACCAACCCATTGGTGGGCATGTGTTATTTCAAAAGCTTACTAAATATTAGTAACAAATTGTAAACAGAAATTATAAAATAAATTAAATTCAATTTTGATCAAATATCTATAAATTATCCATGCGTACAACATACATGCCCGTAAAGTTTGATCTCTAAAACAGCCTTGTGGCCGCGAAGCGACCATAATTTTAGAGCATTTTGCAATTATTGGGATCAACCGCGGGTCAAATGAGACGCATCCAGGAACCCCTGCCTTTCTCTTCGTCAACAATTTTAGTTATTGTAGCCGGAAGCATGTCAGATTCAACTATCCTTTCCTTTGTAAGTTTTGTTTCGAGTCTCCCAACGAGTTAATTCAGATTTCGTCTCGTTCCATTTAGTAGGACTCCACTGCTGAATCTTTAGTCCCTGGCCATTCATCGGACAGCGACGTATCCAACTCCAGCGCTACTTCTAGCTCCAGCTTCAGTGCATCCGCGGCATCCAATTCATCGGCGGCCTCCAATTTATCTGCAGAACCCAATTCATCGGCGGCTTCCAACTTATCTGCAGCTTTCAATTCATCAGTGGAGGCCGCCAATTCATCCCTGGAAACCAATTTATCCTTGGAAAGCAGTTCATCATTGGAACACCATTCGTACTCGGACCACCATTCATCCCTGGAATCCAATTCACCCTCGGCATCCAATATCACCGACACTTCCGCGGACGGATCAAACATCTTGCAGTCCACGCAGGAAGATAGCTCTTTGAACATGATCCACGATGAATCCCACTCCCTGGTCAACTTGTCCGTTCCGGACGACGATGTTCCCTCGCAGATTAGATCACTCTCGCGAAATATGGCCGATTTTGAAGCCGAATTAGATGGCAGTAGGTCAACCTGAGTATTTAGTAGCAGTATCACATTGAATGACTCTTATGTCTTTCAGTTAATCGTTACTGCAACCGCGTGGCCCAGAACGTAATAAACATTACACCAACATCTACCTCAACACCAACAGTTGTGCGTGGAAATCGTCGCAGGAGTGACAGTAAGTGCAAAACAAGTCTAATCCAAGCCTTGATTTCACGTTGCTCCATTATATACCGCGTATTGAAACTGTTTATAAGGAGATTAAAAAATCCACAAGAAAAATCATCCGGACTGTATGTAGATCAGTCCCAAAGCTCGCAGTACTGTGCACCAAGCCTTACTTGCGTTTTTCTCAAAAACGCTTTGCTATTTAAGTTATATGTTAGATGCCTCTCCTTAGATTTGTCTCTTAATTTTTGCTCCTTTTTTGTCCTTTTACAAAATATTCTATACATTAGATTCTTGACTGGTAAAATTGGGGAATGTGCATTGATATATGTATATTTTTTTTTTCTTGTACCTTGTATCCTGTTTACTATATCAAATACCTTGTATTCACATGGTAAAGAAGTGAGCAGACTACACAAAAATGCCATAACCTAACCCCTATTTGACCTGAAGATATGATAAAACTTATATTACAAATCTAAGGAAGACTAACTAAACAACTTATTACCCAATAGCGCTCACTTACCAATGTTGTAAGTAACGACACAAAATTGTTCTAATTTTCCTCTAGTAACTCCAGTGGAAGTGATAGATTTGTCCCATCTGGAATTCGTACCTCCAATTCGATCCGCCCGTAATCGAGCTCCCGACGCTGTTATCGACTTGTGCACCCCCGACGGAGCCAGACGCCGTTTAGAGACTCACACGAACGACTCGCCTACCGTTCACAATCGACGTCCTGTCCGCGCTCGGCGGATCGAAAATTCTCCAGTAGTGGATCTCGAGTTGTCCCAGAGGGAGGATGCCTACAAATGCCCGGTCTGCATGGAAGGCGTGAGAGACCGCCAGCCGATGTCAACAATTTGCGGACACGTTTTTTGCCGAGAATGTATCCAAACTGCCCTCAGCTCCACGTACAAGTGCCCGATGTGCAACAAAAAGCTAACAGCACTTCAATGTAATCGCATATATCTATGAGTTGCTTGTTCTGTACTTTATTTGAATTTGCTCTGTGAGCTACATTCCAATTCCTATTAATATATATTTTAATATAGTTCGTTTAAATTATTGGCCTACATAATGTTAAAGACGGCAAATGAATGTCCGATCTTGTGATTTACATACAATTATTTTTAAGTTATCTTTTGTAATCCATTCCGCCAAAAAAATCATTAATACAAGTTTGTGAAATGAAATATTGCCTAGTTATGAATCGAACCATTCTCAGGTTAGAATAAGAAATGAAGACCGATTGCGATGGTCAAAACTTTAGTTTGAAGAATTTATTAAATTTTTGAAATAAATTGGTCACAGTTAATCATCGCAAGGTTCTTGCCTGAAAACGTACAGGCTCCGAATCTTTGAAGAAGTCAACCGTCCGGCCAATATACCATAAGTGGAAATATTAAGCGTTGAAACGGACAGACGGTCTAGATAGACTGGCTGTTAATGGTGATCAAGAATATAAAGACCCTTTGCAAGTACATAATAAATAGCAAGGGACAGCATATACATAAAAATATACATAAAATATATTTTCCTATGATGTCACCTGGTTTTATCATTGAACTATCGTTCTAAAGATTCGTCAGAAGAAATCTACAACTCTGTTTGACTACCAAAATTGTCAGGGGGAGGGTTAAACTACCAACCAGACTTACTGTGTGAGAGGGATGGAGACAACCTTTAAGCAACTCTGTTTTTCACTAACAAATCTAGCCTATAGCGTATCCTATCTTCTACTATAGCTCCACTGACCTATGGCGCCAACTTGCCTATAGCGCCCATAGCGGCTTGGTGGCGTATTAGTGAAAACAGCTTATTTGCTGCATTTGGCGTGCAATCTCGATTGAATTGCAAAATATTGATTATTATTTAGTTATAACTTTTTAATGACTTTACATTATACATTAGATTATAGGGGATCCTGCGAACCGCTGGTTTGTTACGCCGACAAACCAAAAAAGAAATGCAAAGCCGTCTTAAATAAAAATTATAACTGAAATGTATTTATTTTGTCCACACCCCCACCCCAACGCCCGTAACGCTAAAATCTGTCTGACGCCTACTTTTTAAAAGAGGACAATGTTTGCTTTAGCAGAGGGCCACGCCACAAACCCCAGTTCCCACAAGTCACAAAAAAATATTTATGTTCAGTTTTATTTTTAATTGAGATAACGATATAAACAATTACTATGTAGCTTCTTAAATGATATGTATTGGGGTATCAATAAGTTCAGGGATGGTCGTGACCTTAACCTGAAGGCCATGCACTCGCATGCGCTGCAATTTATCCACTTTTTTGGTCTTCTCATCGAAGAGGCGGATCCTGTGATGTTCCAGCTGATGATAAATGACAACAACCTCACCCACAGTCGATGCAAAGTGGGATCCGCTTATATAGGGGTGAGTATGATTCTTAGAAAGGCTGCAAGGGTCTGATTCACATATAGTTTTCCAAAAGAATAATTTATATATAAAAACATTATCTTAAGCCTGAACAAATTATACGTCAATAAATGGGTTTTAAAATGTGTCACTAAATAAATATGAATTTTTTTGAAAACCGCAAATTGCTCAACAATTTTCCGTTATTTATTGTGGTTGCTGCCTTAGTGCATCACTGTACTTATTAATATATTGTTTAATATGTTTGATTTTAAAGACATTCGTATTTGCTTAACGTCTAACATTACTCTTGTTTGCAGACAAAAATTGGGCAAGTGATTCAAAAAAGTTTTTCTTAAATGTTAGGACAGTCTTTGTGAAAAATAGACGAATATTTAAAGAGCTATAGCTGGTTTAGTAAAAGTATTCAAAATTATTGATATTGCTCAAAACGTGGATTGCTATGGTGATGCCGGCAATTTGTTATATTATTTAAGTTGTTACAGCTTAAAATGTGCATGCACACGTTAAATAACTTTTTTCTATCCGCAGAATTAATATATTTAGCGGAAGAAAAAGTACTATTATCTTTTATATGACGGAATGTTTTTAATCGTTTTTAAACAATATTTCGGCCATTGATTGTTGGATCTGCTTAAGAAGAAGAATCTTTCCGGAACCGCATCCGGTCCTCTTTGTACATTCTACATAATATGTGCTACAGATAGACTTCAAACAATTTTTAAGAATGTTGTGGTGCCTTTAAGGGTCACAGAAACTAAGATATTTTATGATTGCAGTTTTATAAGTTTATAAGTTTTATTTATTCGGTCCGCTGTCTGGCGTGGTCGATTAATATCGTGGTTCCCTGAGTCGAGCAGACTTGTGTAGCCGTACATATATGATAAAAAAATTCACTGAAATTAGTTTGTTAGCTTAGTTACACATTTCAAAGAAAATCATATGTTTTGGTCAATGCTAAAAATCATAATTAAAATATTTTGCAGTTTCTATGATAACAAAAAAATAACCACAAAAGAATTTGTAATACTTTTAGTAAATATACAGTACAATACAAAATTATTAAGTTCAAAATAAAATTCGTGTCGTTCCTTTAAAAAGTTTTTACTTACCGTATTGTTGATGTTCAGACCTTTTCATAATTTCCAGAAAAAATGTAACAAAATCTTTCAATGGTATAATCCAAAAATTAAAAAACCCTAAAAGATATGAACATCAAACTTTCGTAAAGCCTTTAGGTATTTTATTTGGAATTATCAATATTTAAAAGTTAATTAAGCACTCCTTCACTTTCTACTGTACAGAATCTGGCCCAGGCCCTGGTGGACTATGTTCTGAAGGTGTTCCATAAGGTCAGTTCCCCATCTCTGGAACGGGGCTTCAGGAAAATCGTAGAGAAGTTCCAGAACTACCATGACCACCAGCCAACTAAGACCGCCTATCATCGCGTGAGCAAGCTGGACGTCCTCTAGGGGCATTATTCATGGATCAATGATGAGCGTCACCGAGCTCCCAGTGGAAACCCAGGGCATAAATCGGAATTATATCTGGCTGCTGCTGCCGGCGTCGCTGCTGCGGCCGCTGCCTCTGCCACTGCGATATCAGGCTTTTAGTATCAGCCTCTGTCGCAGTCGCCGTCGCAGTCGCCGCTTATTTCGCTTAGCTGCTAAGCGATTTCCTTGGAGAAATTCAGTTCAGCTCGGACGCTCATCGCGCCCATCCACACGTTTCAATAGTTAAAGCTTCCAGAGAATCGAAACTGATCACAAAAAGTGCCACCCACGAAATAAATTCAATTAGACCGAGCCCATAACCTCGCAGGAGGGGGAAAACATTTAAACAGTGCTGCTTTAAAAGTTATTGCAACATGGTGGCTACCGAGGACGTTAAAATGGTAATTAAACTACAAAAATGGTTTGTCTTGGGTTTAGTGTACGGCAGAAATAAACAATCGGAATATACATTAAGATATGTTCTTTTAACGTGCGCTATCAATTTATTACGCATACGACATGATGGCCAGTACATTTGGTAACATTAAATTTGAAAATTGCTATTAATAAACAAGCTGTGGGGAATGTCTAAGATTAGATTTCTATATGAATGCTGAGGTATCTGACTGTTAAGTAAGAGCCATTGCTAGGGCACACATGCTTTGTTCGTGTTTTTCCACTCAAAAGAAATCAATTAATAAGTAGAAAGCAGAATAAATATTTTTCCTTTCATTACGGATTTTCTTAAAGGAAAGAAAAAGCTAAGTTTTCCTGGACAATCTATAGTAATTACTGTAGTTTTAGGAACCTATTGAGCTTTGTTCTCAATCACTCAATTATGGTATAAACAATTCCGCTACCTGTTTAATTAGCCTCTCAAATTTGCATTTGTTGCCCTCAATCAAAGAAATTATTTATTAGGTAGTAATTGCGAAACGATTTTCAAGTGGACAGCTAAAATATCTAATCGAATGCGCCTCCTGAAGAAGTTTACGCAAAGTTTAAGATTTATAAAGGCCCCCTGAACAGGTTTGTTTACGATTCCGTACGAGAGGTTGTCAAGCCAACCTAGTGTTATCGGGAGCCATAAACCAAGATTAGAGCGGGCTTAGGACCACAGGATCGAGAGTTTTGTACCTGGGGGGTGGCACACAGCACAATCTCGCCCTTGGCAGTGGAACAGACTATCGATCGATTGCTTGCCACTCGACAAGGCTCCCTGAAGAGGCTCTTACCGAACGACGCGATGGGGCATCAGGAAGTCGTATACCCGTAATAGAGCACGGGGCCTATAGGCGTAATCGGGGAGCGAGGAGATCGCCAAGATCTCGAGGAAGCAGCAGCTACAATCGGCGTGCGGTTCACGCAGCCACTAACTGCTTTCGATAATGGCCAATTAGCTTTCTACCTTTGAGCGTGACGCTGGGCTCTTTAGATTCAGATTTAAAAAGTCGATTTCCAGCCGTCCAAATGATTCATTTTCAGCCACTTCTGGTGATAAGGCGAAGCGAATTTGAGTTTTTTTTCGGCTGCTGCTCCACTGGGACAGCGTTTTATCAAATCAGTCAGTAAAACGATAGTCGGTGTAGCAATATAACATAATATACATTATTTCAGTCGCGTGCCAATCAGTTTTTGTTGTTTATGTTTACTGACATATTTATTCCGAGTTTATCTGACTTGCACTGGACTGTCGGGCAATCTGCAGGGAAAAATAATAATATTTACATATCAATACGTTTTTGAGTTTCATGGTCATTCGGTGTCCGGTAAAATGCGATTTCTAAAATAGCGAGTATTTACTAGTGGAGATTTTCTTTGATGTTTCATTAAACATTTCGGATGTAAATAGATTGGAAGTCTGAAGAACCTTCAGTAAGTTCAAGAAACTTCCATACGATACGCTACAAAACGACAATGGGAAACAAAGGACTTCGAATTTAAAAATAAGTCATACCAAGCAACTATGATTACCCAATAACTGCATTAATTATTATATTGAGCTTGTCATTATATTTATATCTTAGTAAGTTCGAGGAAAACATCTATTGTTTCATTTCATTATGAAAATAAAGTGAAGATAATTATTTAATCTGACAGGCAATTTGTTTTTAACGGCTGTATCTCTTAAGATGATTCATAGTCATCAAGAAAGGAAGTATACACCCTTGCAGTTAATACCATGTCATGGAACATAAATAAGTTCTGCATATTCAATATTTTTAAGAATAGTATTCTAATAGTAACTTCTTTAAAAATAGAGTACACCCGCTAGAGAATATGACGAAAAACAACGATGCTATAATTTGTTTCCTATTATTTTTCCATTTATTTTCTGATCGATCCAATGGCAGCTATATAATATAGTCGTCCGCTTTTTTAACAATCAATTTTACATTTTAAGAACCAACGAATTTACAATACGTTTCTATCATTTCTCTGAAGTCTTAAATCTTACTTGCAAAAGAAAGAAGACTTTTGGGTAAGTTTCGAGCCGATAGAACGCACAGTCTGCAATCGCTAAATCGACTCGACTGTTGATGATGATCATTCATTATACGCTCTGCCATGGTATACAAATTTGCAGTGAAAGCGACTGCAAAGATTAAAAATGTTGCCCTTTATAGTACTTATTTTCCAAAGAACATTAGTCGTATAACTACGCCAAGTGTAAGTCCATAAGCCACTTAGAAAGACACTTTGTTGCGACTTTGCCATTTTCATAGTCTATATTTAGGAGTATTCAAATGCTCAGCACACCTTGAAGCAGAAGCGGTGGCCAAGGGTAAACAATATCGCTTTAATTACCGCATGGGCAACGGACTTGAGCGAATTAAGGGAATTGCGTCAATAAAAGAAATTGTCTATCGGCTGGGTGAGCTGCAATGGCACGGGCCACCGTAAAACCAGGGAAAATGTGGGCGTGTAGGCGGAAGCATCGAACATAAAAGCCCTCGTGCGCCTCAAATGTATACACGAATGCATAGGTGGGTCCGATACTCGGAAATCGGGGCAGGTACTTGGAACAGGTCTCCCGAATGCAAAAGCACATGGCACATGGCACAAGGCACTCGGTGAACTTGACATCGGAAAAACAGCGAAAGAAAGTAAACAGAGCACAGCAAACGATGCAAACTAATTAGCATGTGATGTTGATGAGCGCCCCTATTTGTACACCGGGAAAAACCACCTATTTAAAATGATTCAGGAGTGCCCCAAATAATCAACTGATACGGTATCTATAAATCGAATACAGGAGCTGTGTAGCACACTTTTAGACACATTTGATGTGGTTTTAAAATGCATTTTACTTTACTTCAAAATTTTGTTATCCCAGAATTTATATGAAAAACAGTTTGGTATCTAAGCGGTTTAACATACCTATCAATTTTCATTACTCACAAAATGTTAAGTTTATTATTGAAACAATGTCTTTATATATTCGAGTAATGACGATTGAAAACAATTGAAACATTTTAATACCCCCATCAAATAGTAAATAAAAAGTTAATTTAAAACCTTAATCCGAGTTCCTTATCTGCTAAGCGATTAGTTTTTCTCAGTGAAAGGTGGGTGTGTCTGCGAAATCGTGCTGACCCCTTTCGCTATCTCCTTCGCACTCGATTGCCTCTCGCTCGCTCCGCCGGCGGCTGTTCGACTTGTTTGGGTGTGAATGCGGCGACAGGTTTCTTTTGGCATGCACTTGACGCCATTAAGAGGCACATACGTGTTCTATTTTATAATTAGACATTCCGCCTTAATAACATTTTAAACGGTCGCTTGCACATCCATCAAGGAATCAACTTCATAAGGAACTATTCTATGTGGTTGTCATCTAATCGGAGACATGTTTCTGTTTACGGGCGGAGAATACCCGATGGATTGGGTTCTATTTGGCAAGTGCATCGTAAACGCAAACGCACCGAGATGCATTTAGCAATTTAATTTTAACTGGCGGGCGCTTTGTCGGATGTATTGGTTTGCTTGGACTTTGATCCACTCAGGTGCGGTGGCGTATGCGTAATATCTGCGTAGTTTCACTTGAGGGAACGCACTAGATTGATTTCTATTGATGTGCAATTAATATGACAATGCAAATATATTCTTGGGGCATGATTGTTTGGTCGAATATCTTAAAAAACCTTCCAACAGGTTGTCCATTACTTTCGTCTAAACACATTTTACCTATTTCGAGAGGAAATCCACTTGTCTCTGACGTAAAACAAGAGATTCTACTGCATCTGATGCGCGTAATCTGCTGGCAACCCAACGAAATTCCGCCACAAGCGCCAGATAAAATAAAAGTTCTATGCACAATAGAAGAATTTTCGCCAAGATTCGAGATGAAAATACGTTTTTTCGAAGAGTCCAACGATTCAGATTCAGTCGTCTCGAGGTGTTCGCACGAGACAATCCACTGCCCCAGAGGCATCGACTAAAATTAGCGGAAAAATCAAAACAAAATATATTTATACATAGGAACGCTTTCCTAAGATAATTAATGGGAAACGCTACAAATAAGTGAAATAACTATATAAGCCAATATATACAAACCATAAAATAGTGTTTTTTACACCAACAAAGATTCAAAAAATTTGGCACAGTGCGTTCTTTGTGCGATCGTTTTATATAAGGCATTGGTAAAGAACCCGGAAATCGGCCGAGTCTCGAATGGATTCGGAAAAGGTGGTCCGCGCCATGGCTCGTTGGTGGCAGGTAAAATCCGATTGGAGGAAGATTCAACATCGTAATCCGAGAGTTTGGCAGAAAAATATATCTGATGTGTTTCAAAGTTAGCAAGCGAGCGAGAAAAGCAATAATACTTTGTATTGGCATTTGGTTATAAAGATAATTTTAAAGTTACTTTTCCCTGTTGATGATAGAGTGTCAAGAAAAATGAAATGTTACATATGTTAATAAAAAATACACACATAAGTATTTTGTTGTAAGCTGAAATGGCGCTTTAGTTAGACATATGATCAAACTAAATAGCTTTTAGGATTTATTTAACTTGTCTTTTAATACAGTTTTGGCTTTACCTAGTGACATCTCCTTAAATTGTTTGAGTTCTTTTCTTTTGCAGACTGTTAGTCAAGAGGATAGCGACTCACGCAATCCGATAACCTACGACCTCCTGCAAGAAAGCGTAGCGAAGAACTCGAAGACGCGGCAATACCTGGCGGCCATTATAAGTGAGAAGAATTAATTTATTTAGTCCGATGAGGTCCTTAAGGTGTGTTTATTCAACTCTTACAGTTTGTTTGGGTGCGGTCGCTGCTGGTACTGCGTTATCCTGGACCTCTCCTGTTTTTCCGCAGATATCTGTCAATGTCAACGATACTGCAAATGGAACTAAAACTATACCGATTTCCACTGAAGATGACTTTAAACTGACCGCTTCGCAACGTAAGTAACTTTCTTGTAGACCTTGTTACTTTTTGTAGATAGCAAACTACTATTAAACTGCATAGATAATACAATTTGCAAGCCTTACTAGTTCAGCAAAGAGTACTTGCACTTTGACTAGCGACCGAAAAATAAGGGACAAAGAAATAACTTGCTTTTCGAATCTCATTAGTATAGTATAATTAGATGATTGGTCCCATTATAGCGAATAAATGTAATCGAAATAAAAATAAAAACTAAAATAATTCAATATCATTGAAACAATCAAGAATTTAGGAAGCGTTGAATCTGTCAATTTTTTTTTTGCGAATTCCCGCTCAATATAGAATCCCCTCCTTATTTTGATTGACTAAAACCCTCCAAATAGAGTACGGGGATATAAGCTGCCTTGTCGATACAAGTGGTTGGGACTTACGTGACCACAGATTGATAATAAACAGATAGATAATGAATCCCGTACATGGTGACCATACGTCATTGATAAAGGAAAGCTCACACTATGGTTTTTAGTTACGGGCTTACGGCCTTATCAAGTTCGGGAGATTATCTGAAAAAATTTGTTTTTGCAGAGACATGGGTCAGCTCAATGTTGCCCCTTGGCGCCCTTTTCGGAGCCCTACCCTCTGGATATATAGCCGATATGATCGGCAGACGTTATACTGCCATAGTCATGGACGTTCCCTTCATTTTGGCCTGGATCTCGATCAGTTTTGCCAATTCAGTCGGCTGGCTTTACTTGGGAAGATTTTTGATCGGTAGGTGATGAATCTGACTTAGTTTCGGAATTGCTATTAACGTTGGACTTTTCCCAGGTATATCCACCGGAAGCTTCTGCGTGGTGGCTCCCATGTACATCTCGGAGATTGCGGAGACCAGCATTCGCGGCAGCCTGGGTACATTGTTCCAGCTGCTCCTCACGATCGGCATCCTGTTCATCTATGTGGTGGGGAATTTGGTAGCGTGGAAAACCCTGAGCTTGCTGTGTCTTGTCATACCAATTATACTTTTAATCGGACTCTTTTTCCTGCCCGAAACTCCAGTCTATCTCCTTAAAAGGGTAAGCAAGCTGATGAACCCGTTTGTAATGTATGTTGGGGAACGAAACTTAAATGTGCACTTAACTATGATAATATGTTTATCCACATTTATTACTATTGTTTGTAATTTTTTATGTAATATTTTACGAAGCATTGATATTAATGCAAATTTTCACTTCCAGGGCAAGCGATCCGAGGCCAACAGCGCCCTGAAATGGTTGTGGGGTGATTACTGCAACACCACCAGCGCCATCCAGGGGATCCAGAACGACCTGGACCAGACCGGAGCGGATGCCTCCATTATGGACCTGTTCAGCAATCGCGCCTCTCGCAAGGGACTGGTGATCTCCGTACTCCTCATGTTCTTCCAGCAGTTCTCCGGCATCAACGCGGTGATCTTCTTCATGAACCAGATCTTTGAGGCGAGCAAGAGCCTGGACCCCGGCCTCTGCACCATAGTCGTGGGCGTGGTGCAGGTGCTCATGACCCTGGTCTCCTCCCTGCTGATCGAGAAGGCCGGCCGCAAGATACTGCTGGTCTTCAGCAGCTCGGTCATGACCGTCTGCCTGGCCATGCTGGGTGCCTTCAACACGCTGCAGAAGCACAATCCCGAGGAGGCAAAGGCCCTCGACTGGCTGCCCCTGCTCTGCATAGTGCTGTTCATCGTCAGCTTCTCGGTGGGCTACGGCCCCATTCCCTGGATGATGATGGGCGAACTCTTCATGCCGGACGTGAAGGGCACCGCCGTGTCCCTGAGTGTCATGATGAACTGGGTGTGCGTGTTCTTCGTGACCTGGCTCTTCGGCCAGTTGAAGGCCGTTGGGCCCGATGTGCCCTTCTGGTTCTTCAGCGGCTGGATGGCGGTGGCCACTGCCTACGTGGCCATCGCTTTGCAGGAGACCAAGGGCAAGACTGCCAGCCAAATCCAGAGCTGGCTGGCCGGTCACTAGGGGCCCCCTGGATGCCATTACAACCGTAGGTGGGTAAGCAGAAAATGCCAAAAAGTAATGTAGGAAGGTTTTTCGTTCGAAGCCTTAAGTTCAGCATACAAAACATTTATTCCGTCTGAACCAGGAGAAGCCGATATAATCTTTGGCAAAGGCATAGAAACCGTTTCGGATCTAAGGACAATAACACACAAAATGTACAATTTAACTTATTGATGTTCCACAGTTTTCACAGTGTTTGAATTGACTCTGAAGCTTACATTTAGTGTAGTTCAATTAGTTCCTAAGTACTCATGGTCACGCCCCCATAGCTGTAAGATTCGATGGAGTGCCACCCCGTTTTGTGGTCTCCTTTTTGTAGAAACATCCTGCTGTGTGTAAATGTACGTGTAAGATGGCAAAGACATATACCTATAAATTTAACTATACTAAACATGAAACAAATGTACATATATTTGATAATAAAAGTAAACTGTACAGAAGCCCGTAGTGTTTTGTGGGTCAGATTGATAGCGATAACCCCGGGGGCCGGTACGCCCCTAAAGTGCGAAATTAGACCACTATCAGGCGACTATTTCCAATCGGCTGGACGTTAGCGACAGGCCACGCCCACTCCTGGCGCCAGTGCTCGGCGCTCCTGCTCCACCCACCACCCACCACCCCCTCGTCATGGTCAGTGTGAAGGTCATCGGCGGCTGATTGATTGATCGACATCGGAATCGGCAGAGCGGTGCACAAAATGCAAATTGAAATCGTGCCAGCCATCCCGCTCCGATCAATTGCCGGCATTTCTATGCAAATATTTAACGCAATTACAGGAAGCCCACCGAGGCGCGTATTTGCTTGGATATTTGCTCACATGCTCAACAGGTTGTCGACAATCAGCAACAAGGCAGATACAAATGGCAAATATTGTCATATTTCAGGGGGTGGAAATGGGGGAGCGATTCTGCCGCTGGAGATCGTTTTAGTTGCAGTTTACGCCCATTGCCGATAATTTCAATTGCGTTCGAGTGTCTGGTAAATAAATCGTTTTAATTGATGGGCTATATCCAATACACGATTAGAGCTTGCAGCTGATTAGCTAAAGTGCACAAATGTCAGTGTAATCAATTGTGGATGTTGCTAGAAAACTATTTATCTGAGAAAATATAAATGTAATATTTAATTTTAACTATAGAAACCCAACAACGCTGTCGGAAATATCAAAATGCCTTTAATTGTATGCTATCAGTTTTCAACTTACCTAATCCATTTATATTTTCATCAGAAATGTCCAGGGATGTCAAACAAAATTGTAAGAAGCAATTTTAAAAGCCCTGTAGAGTCTACAGTATAGACCCTTAATTAAAAACAAAATAAATATAACTCGCAAACATTGCAGGTGACAAAACTTCCGCTGGAAATCATTTAACATTTTTAGTCTGTTATTGTTTTTTCAATTCCCATCCGAGGTTCGAGTGCCTGGTCAATAAATCGATCAGACTGATGGGATACGAATTAGTATTAATCTATTGTAAGCACCCGGGGATATTGTTAGTAAATTATTCTTCGGGTGAAAAAAATATTTTCACTCTCCTAATTTGTAGAAACTTTATTTAGGACACTATACATTTCCTCCTAATCGGGCAGTTTGTGTTTCTTTAAAATATTTTTTTGATTGAGTAAAAGGAAGTTAGGGTGGGAAATTTTGTTATTATTTATTTGTTCCTAATATTTGTTTCGTTATCATAGGGCAGTAAAACGATTTACAACTGGGAGCTACTTGTATTTATGGTAGAATTATCGATTTATGGCCTCTTTATCTCTAACAATGGGGTTGTACTTGTTTGGTTATTCAATAAAAAAGTAAATATTGATATAAAAGCTACAATTATTTTAACGCGACAACTTTTATCAATTTATTTTTAGGAGAACATTCCGAAATTGGAACCCGGCAAATCGGAACTTGTTACCAAATTGGCAACGAAACGAGCCTCCTGTTTCTCCATTTACACAAAACAACAAATCATTGTATTTCACTTAAACTTTTGTCAAGACCTGATAACCAGTTTGTAAAACATGCAACCGGTGCCTTATCATTATTCAAGCCCCCGAATGCAATTCACTTTCTTGATTTAAATTTAGCAGATCGTCGTAAATAAACGCACTGGCTTCTGGCCTGTAATTCCCATGTATATCATATCGAACTGCCTGTTCCGGATGGTGTTTACCAGAAACCCCACGTCGATATAAAACACTTAAGTGCCTACCCCGGAGACATTTCAATTAGCAGATGTGTGGGGCACGCACGTTACTTGCCGACTAGCCAAGCCACTTAATTGTGTATGTACTAACTGTATCGATAAGCCATCAGAATAAGTCAATCCCCCGAATCGGGTCTGGTGCATGCTAATTAACTTCCTCATCGGTGATTCACACCGTCTGCGGGAGATACCGATCGGCCAAATTACTCTAAAGTTTTCCACACTATTGCCCGGAACTAGAGGTCTGTGAACACCTCAACCGACCTTAAATGTGTTTTTTATGGGTTTGTTTATTTTTCTGTGTCAAAAAAGGCTGCGAAAGCAGAGACCAATTGCTGACTAGGCACACAAAGCGTTGATAAAAATCGAATAAATTCCGAGCTCAACTCTCTCGGACAAGCTCGGTTCAACGGTCGCGTTTAATTCGATATGATAGTTGCCCATGTCTGCGATAAGTCTGGTTCTCCACAATGGGACGTGTGTGAGTGAGCTTCCTCCGTAGTGTGTGAAAATTGTATTATCTAGCCTCACTTGCGACTAAGTACGAGTATAAAATGCGTCTGTCATAATTTTTGCATGCCCAACACAAAAGCGTCAGAACACCCGCGATCCGACATCATTTCAATTCCGGCAGCCAGCCAAACAGTTAGCTCTGATCTCTGTTCGGTCCAGAACTAAACTAATTCTCACATTACGTATACGCCGCGTTCCACGGCCAGACAGTGTTTCATTGATTGCCCACTAATTGATAATTTCGGCTTCAAAATGGGTAAGTCAGACGACCTAGTTAATAAGTGTATCGCCAGAGTGTTTGTACTCGGCTGCCATTGATTTGTTACCCCGCTGCCGAGTGCTGATAAATTGATCATTGAGTGTCGCCCTGAATTATTATAAATATCAAAAATGATAATAACTTGTGCTCTGATTAGGGCCCAAATCAAATGTATTATCACAGTGAGCATGAACGAAGTTAGTGAGATAGTGTTTCCCCAAATCAACGTGTTACCTTTTTTGATTAGTTTCCATCTGGCTTCACAGCGATCGGTCCACATTGTGTTGTGCTTTATTCTATTTGTTCAGTAAGTTTCCTGATTTCTTAATATTTCTCTAAGGATGAACTGTATCAGTAACATTTTGATGATAATACTTTAATCTAATAGTGAGCTTTTTATGAAAAAGCTAAGGATCCATTCCCAATTTTTGAACATATTTTGTTATTGTCATTATTATCATTGTTGATCTTGGCAAGACTGTTGTTTTTAAACGTTTCTAAGAATTGCTACGTTCGCACTTTTATAATTTTATTTTTAATTACATTAAAATGATAAACATACATAAAAACTTATAGATGACTATACAAAATATGAAATATTTCAAATATGTATGCAACTTTATCTAAGTTGAATTATTAAATCAAAGTTGAATCACCTCTTTTATGGACATACAAATAAAAGTGGAGCATAAGTCGAGTTGAGCATAACAAAAGTTTCCATTGTACGTGTGAACTAATTAATACCTTGAATAAAAACTTCCAGATGTAAGAGTTCTGTAAGCGAGTAGAAATCAGGTAGAGCCCTCAAAGATTATAGCCAACTTCGCGATTTAATCGGCAGCCGACGGCTGTTACTCAACATATCACTTTTAAATGCCAGACTTTTTGTGTGCGTAGCCAACATTTGGAATCGTATCTATTTACTCAATCAATGAAAAAAACACTTAATTTCGGAGGCGGTGGAATAGGGTCTTATCAAATGGACATGTCTAAAATGTCTATCTCGTCACTAAACCACCGATCTGTCTCAGTGTGTTATTAATTATATAGCACTTTTGACTTTTTTAATTACTTTTTTTATTACATATTGGTGTATTTCCACCCTGATAGCAGTTTCAAAAACGCCCCTTTTTGTCTCTCAGGTTATAAACATTAAAATGTCAACACTATCAAGAATTTTAAAACAACAACACTTTTAAAAACACATTTGTTTAGCAAGCACAAATAGCATGTTTGCAAAATGCCATAGATAACCTTAAGAGGAAAAAGTTAATAAAATTATGTGTCCGAATCATTCGAAAAGCTTATCAACACCGGTTTAAACAATCCATATTTGTGCGATCAGTTTGAGTTATTACCAGAAACCCCAACGAAGGAATTTTATGAAGAAGGTCTATAAATTATTGACAAATGCAATATATACTGCAATCTTTCATTAATAAAATTGACTAGTTCTCTGACGCTTTGCAGAAAGTCAAAAACAAAAATGACAATTAATTTTTAGTGTCAAAACAAGAATGTCGTTACGTAATAATTGCAGTTTTCATAGAGGATCAATTTTCTAAGGAAATTTGCAATTTGAAGATCAATCTTAAGTGTTTTATTTAGCTAGCCCAGGTGTTCCCGGACCACTAACTTGTTGAGATACTAACCTAGGCAGATATGACAATCGGCGCTGTTCCAAGAGCCTTTCACACCCCCTTCACGTGTCTCGCCTTGGTAACAGAAATTGTGTCACCACCTTTGATCTGGAACTAGCTAAATAAATCCAAGGACAGTGCCGTAAAGGTGCATCGGAAATTACTTAACAATTACCAATCGTAATCAAAACTTTATTTACGCATTCGGTGACATTTGTTTTTATTTAGAAATAAAGTGGGTTACAGGGAGTCCACTTGTAGATTAGTAAGCCCCATAGGGACATATATTTACACAGAAAAAAAAAGCCGATGTATTTTTGAAAAAAATAATGTAAATGCATTTAATATACATTTATTTATGAAAAAGAAAAAATTTGTTAAAAATTAATGGTAGTAGTAGTAGAAAATGAGATCGGGGTGCCAACGACCATTCCGTTTTCCCTTAAAACTTTTACTCAAAGTATACAAAGTTTACATTCGGTTAAAATTGAGTTTAACGAGATTTCTAGGGGTTTCCTGTAAACATTAATTCAATTTCTTTCAATGTACATATGCCAGGACTGAAGTGGGCCGGTCGCCCTTTTGCCGGCGGGTCGGCGAAGCAAACAAATTGAGATTGGGGCACAGTTTTTGCTGTACCACCTTATCACATTACATATGTGGGAATACGTATATGGGCCAGTTCAAGTGCAAAATGCACACAAATAGCGCAATTCCGACCAAAACAAGGCACAACAAAAATATTGAGATTCCGATCCGATGCCGATGACAGAGAGAGTGTGGATCGGGAGAAGGCAGCTCCGATGA